AGGTGTTCGGAAACCTGCGGCCATGGTTCAAGATCTAGAGTTTGCTGCCTCCCGTGTCTCCTCAGGAGTGAAGATGATCTGTACCGGATTGACGGGACAGTGGATGAGGCTTTGCCAGACTGGCAACCTGCCAAGCAGATATGCCAATCAATGATGATATTTTTGAAAGTCTGCATTAATCATGCCGGTTGCCATTAATTATCGATATTATTTTTTATTTTATCCATTAGTTCATATAGCCGTAGATTGGATTGTGAGTATCTATGGGTAAGGTACTGTGTGGAACAGCAGAACTACTTTATTTCAAATCACTCATCCTTGCTAGGATTTACCCCATAGTCCGTCTCCGTCTCCGTAGGTCTTCGTGATACCCCTCGTTTCGCAACTCCATGGGGGAGAATTTTGCCACCATCTTATCTCCAAATCACGATCATACTGAAAGACAAGAAGGAATGATAATAATAAGATTTAGCGGAAGCATGATAAACAAAGTTTCCTCCGGAGTCAGAGGAGAATTGCTTGATTACTGGACTCCGTAGTCTGTATTCGTACGAGTTACGATGTACAGTCCCCGTCCGGTTTGACGGTGCCAAGTCAATTGTACACGGACTTGCCGATGACATCTGTATCCACAAATGTCAAGCATGCACCCCTAGTGCGAATGCACACGGGGTTCCCGATACGCAAGAATGATGGACATCGACCAGGGAAATTGTACCATTATTCCTTTAAGGTAAGTAGTAGCTTCAAAATAATTATTAATAATTTTATTCCGTTCATCAAACATACAGAGTATGTTTACGTGCTCTGTTCAATCCACGCAAGTCTAATGATAAGCCGCGGAAGCAAGCACCTACCATGATGACTTAAGCTGTAACAAGGAACCATACCAACTGGCCCGAGTATCTCAGTCACAGCGGATAAAATCGTCGCCTACAGGCCTACGAAGCTCGAAATAAAACAATGCAGGAACCATTGAAAGGTATACAATACAACACATGGAAGCATCGGCGACCAAAAACACTGCAGTAGCCATGACAATCACTAATGGGGAAGGACTTATGGCAGTGCAAATGGGGCATGCAGATTTAGTTGTATTTCTGTAACTCAATTACCGCTAAAAATATTTATGGATTAAAAATAAACTATGTAAATCTAAAATCAAAATCTAAAATCAAAAATGGTAAGCCAAGTCCCTGCTTGACCATTGATCTCCACTTCCCCTGTTCCCCTCGCTTTCTCTGTCCTAACAATATCTGGCAAAATGAACAAATTAATTTATTATTTTCTGATTTCTTTTATCATTTTCCCGACACTTGGTTTTATAGAAATACTTTTAATACGCTACGGCGGTATCATCGTCATCTACCACCCAGAATCCACATCCGCCCACCCCAGTCAGTCTCAATGCACAATCCCCTGTCTCCTGCTGCGCATTTCACCTCCAGTAGTCTGGATGGGCTTGACTTAGTGCTGTTAGTTTCCTTAGTCTTAGTTCATCCAGTTCGTTATAGTATAGTTTACTTAATCTATCTAGTCAGAATCCACTCTAGTAATTTAGTCCAGTCCACTGCAAGCCCAAAATGAGGTACACCTTCTCTCGTAGGGCCAGCGATCATATAACATTTAACAATTGCTCTCCCTCCCTCCCCTCCGTCATTTGTTCATCCTACATAAGACTCATCCTGCCTCGAGGAATATTAGACGGGTCCTCATTAAACCCTGACAAGGATTGACAAAGGAAGTGCTCATACAAGACAGCACCTTGTCCTCTTCCCTTGATTTCGCCTGCTCCTGGAACATACTTCGCACTCCTCCCGGACTTGGCCGTGCAGGTCCACTGACTTGCATTCAATTGCCTTACGTGTGACTGCTGTTCTTCTCTTATATACTCTTTTCATCCCAAACTGAGGAACGAAGTATTCAGAATCGAATTCTGCCTCGATTGTCCTGCATGTCGCGCAGCTTGCTGCTCTCTGAATAGCTCCCAGTCTCTCTGCGATTCGCTCAAATACCTCGAAATACTTTTCGCTTAAATCGAAAGATCGTCCTCTGAACTTCCCCTTACATCGCGCAGGTGACTATCAGCTCGTTGACCGAGGTACACGTTCTCTTTTGAGCGACCTTTCTTCAGGTATGCTCGTATTTCCCATCAGCGTCGATCTTCTTTAGCAATCTAACTACCAAGCTTGCTGCGACAACAATGAAAGAATACGGTGACTGATAACCATCCTCTCTCAGATTCTGCGCCTCGATCTCCTTACTGAAACGCAGGCCTCGTCTTTCACCGAATGGTGGGGACTAGCACAGTCGACTATCGATCTTAGGACGTCTGTATGCAGAGCCCAAGAGCACATTCCGACTTTGTTCTATACCATACACTAGCGCACAAGAAAGCCATCATGTTGGCATTGGACTCGTCACGTCAACAACAAACATCATACTTTCACAACGTCCCTATGGACCCAGCACTGGTCGATCCGTTCGGATTCCAAATGGATAACCTCGGCGGGTTTGGGCAAACTTCTGGTTCAACCAGCGCCCCAACATCTTACTACGAAACATCACCTGTTTATGCTGATTCGCAGCTTGAGCCCAAAACTTCCGGTTTCCCTCCCATGCCTCCTACACCCCCATCCCTTCCAGTACCCTATTCCACAGAGCCTTATATGTCGGGCCTCTCCAGTGCATCTGGACCCTCCATCGCAAGCGCATCATCGTCGGCGATCGGTTCGCCATACTCCGGTACAGCACATACCTTCCCGGAGAGCTGGGTCGATACTAACCACGGTATCGGGCTTCCTGCAGCCGTCATGGATGAGTTCTTTCCCAATGAGTTTATGGGAAGCTCGTTAGAAGCGGATCATATGTATCAGAGGAAAGGCCTCGGCGACTTTGTTGGTGAGTTCCATGAGTTTGCATTCCGTTTTGTTATCAAAACAGATCCCTATGCTGCCTTTCGACCGTCAAATTGCCGACCCTTTCAAAACGCTGACTGGTGGCCAACAGATCCTTCCTTGATACAGCCAGTACACCAATATCCAAACTATTCAACTCCTACTATCTCGTTTCCGGAACACTTGAGCTATCCAGCCAACTGTGGATATTTCCCTCAGTCTCCTGACCCATCTCACCTCCCCGTTGCCGAGAACTACTCCGCAGATCACCTTTCACAGACAGGACTGGCAGTCTCTTCTCCTATTTTGAACTCTGCCCCCCACTCACGCCCCGTTTCGATCTATGACCGGAGGTCGTCCGTTTCATCCACCAATTCCCGTCGATCTCAGCTGAGTCCGGCTGCGAGCGTCGCAGATTTTGATGAAGAGAGCAAGGAGAAAGGACGCTGTCCTCATTCCGATTGTGGAAGAGTCTTCAAGGATCTGAAGGCTCATATGCTCACGCATCAATCAGAACGACCCGAGAAGTGCCCCATCGTTACGTGCGAATACCATGTCAAGGGATTCGCTCGTAAATATGACAAGAACAGACACACGCTCACCCATTACAAGGGTACCATGGTGTGTGGATTCTGTCCGGGTTCTGGATCACCTGCGGAGAAAAGCTTCAACAGAGCGGATGTCTTCAAGCGTCACTTGACCTCCGTGCATGGTGTTGAGCAAACACCGCCCAACTGTCGCAAGAGGAGTCCCGGTGCAGCTTCTGGCAAGAAGGTTTCGGATTATTGCCAGGATGCCACTGGCAAATGCTCAACTTGCTCTGCCACCTTCAGCAACGCACAGGACTTTTACGAGCATCTCGATGATTGTGTTCTCCGGGTTGTGCAACAAGTAGAGCCTAGTGAAGTTATTAACCAGCAACGGCTGGCGGAAGTGGACTGCGATGAGGAGGTCAAGAAGACCATGGAGAAGCACAAGCTCCTCGATGCCGCCGGCGACGTTGACGATGAACCTGAGGAAGATGACGACGATTATAACGAACTCAATCTTCAGCTGCGATCAAGCAAAGGTGCATTCAAGTCAAACAAAGCGAATTCGAGCTTAGGATCTCGTCCCATCTTGGGCAGCCACAACGCTGTTACCAAAAGTGGCAAGGCCCGTGCAACCATATCGAAAAGGCGCAACAACCGCGATCGCTACCCTCCTTCCTGGGGCTGCCCCAGCAGCAGCATGAAGACGAAGAAGCGCGTCTTGTGCGTCTTCGACGGCCAGCGCCGTCTGTGGAAAGATGAAATGATGCTCGACAACGAATTCGAAGTACGGTTGAAGCTTCCCGGAGGAGCTGGTGACGGTACAAACCGGGAGGCATATATAACTGACCTGGATGTCGAAACTCTGAAACGTGCTGAAGGCGTGTTGAGCGCCAACGAGGATGAAAGGGGCCCCTGGTTAGAGGGACCGGCAACCCATCTCATGGGACAGCCGGCGACGATGTTGCATACACTTTCTCATCCTCATGAAGATGTCGATATCGATGACTTGATGTCATGAATGCGGCCACCTTCCCTCGATGCCTCGTTCTCCCTTTTCACTCCTACCTTTTTGTTGGATACCTCTCTGTTTTGCATATGCTGCATCATGAATAGCGAAATCTGCGTGCTATATACCGGATATGATACCACTTACTATTTTATCTGCTTTGATGCATGATTTTTATGTCGCATTTGTCTGCCTATGTGTTTCTTTTTGGCTAAGTCACGGTGTCATGGGAAACGGAAAGGACTCTGATACCAGATAAAAAGCTCTACCTTCTACTTTCCATCAATAATATCTGCTCTGTTAGACAGAGATGAATACGACTTGTTCTTTCCGCAGTATTTCATATGGAAAATGGTGAGATATAACAATGACTACCGAGCCTTCGGCTCAGTGCGGCTGCAGGTAGAAGGTATGCAGAGTATCAAATGGGATAGTCTTTGGGCATATCTGAGCGCACAGCTGGAACCTCATAAGTCTTATACATAAATGTCCTGTTAAGGTGCTGTTGCTGGTTGTCAAGGGTAAATGGATGATAGGTGGATTTGCCTTGATGTCATTGTGGTGGTTCATGTTTGTTGGGATTCCCCGCAGATGCCAGGCCAGGCTTTGCTCCGCAATCTCCGAAGCCAGAGAGCCAACAACCATTCCCTCTCTTTCTTTCTTTCGGTCCCTACAGGAACTGAGTCAATCGCAAAGAGATCAACGCAGGGGCCACCAAGATGCAATTGGGCTTAAGGGAGAGCCTCCCTGCTCTGGTAGCCAAGCGTTTCACTGCAGCCAAGGAATGTGGCCACTTGATATTCTCGCATACTCATCTCTCCATAATCAACTCTGGAGGAATCTCGGTAGGCTGTGCTCTTTCAATTCCCCTCTCAGGTGATATAGCTATCTGTGAACTTACTATGCTAACCTGACGTTTCCAAGTATCAACTTCGTTACTGCCCAGCTCTCGCAAACAAACCTTCAGGCGCTCCTAAATCCGACAAGGATCGATCAGGTCCTAAGCCCGATCCTTTCGAGAATCCCTCCTCAGACCTTTTGATCGCTCAGATTCCTCAAGAAAATCCAACATATACACTTGTCTTGAACAAATTCCCTGTCATACCTAACCACTTCATCCTCGCGACAAAGGCATGGAAGTCCCAAACGGATATTCTCGAGAAGGAGGACCTGGACGCTGCTTATGCCTGCATCAAAGCTTGGAGGGATAACCGGACTGAACAGGGAGACTCGGGGTCAAAGAGACTATTTGCATTCTTCAATTCCGGGGACGAGAGTGGCGCGAGTCAGCCACATAGGCATTTGCAGTTCTTGCCAGTGGAAGCCATGTCTCAGGGTGACTCGGGAAGTTGGGAGCCTCTCATTGACACGGTTTCATCCCAGTCAGTAGGCCCCGACTCGGAGTACCGACGCTTGAGCCAAATCCCCTTCGCCCATTTTGCACTACCGTTACCACAGAACCCAACGGCAGATACCCTGCATGCGATCTATTTATCTCTGTACAGAGTAGCGCTCTCAACTGCGAAGGGAAGCCTGGGGGACCACGCACGAGTGACAGATGGCCCTGCGGCAATCAGCTACAACTTAGCCATGACCGAGTCGATGATGATGATTTGCCCTAGAAGACGTGAAACTGCTCGTATACCCGTCGACCCAAGCGCTTTGCCAAATGTCCAGGAACCTGGCGTCGTGGCCCTGAACGGCACGATTCTAGCCGGAACGCTTATGGTCAAAGCTGAGGCCGAGTGGAATGAGCTTCGGCGCAATCCGGATACGTTGGCGGACATACTCGCGTCTGTCGGCTATCCCCAGCCAGACTCTCGTGGACTCGCTCTGTTATGACGATCATTGACATGGTCTCGTCAAGGATCCACCTAGAGAGGATGTATATAGCATTGTCGCATCAAAGACGCACATGTCTTTTGCATTGTATGTAAGTCGATGATACAGTACATATGACACTGCATTCAGAAATCTCTCCATTTTTCTTTTCTTTTTTTTTGGGAAGCCCAAGATAAGCGACTAAATACGCCCAACAGTGTCCGGCCAAGAACAAAGGAGAAGCACAAGGAATACCAAGACGGGAGCAATGGGACAGTAACGCTGAAATAGCCTAAGAATTTTTGTCCAGAGCGCAACCTACATCATATCTTTACATTGTGCACTTCGCACCACTTCTTCTTGCAGGTCGCATTCCCGAAATGGTACGAGCCTCCATGAGTCCATATATACTGAGCGACCTTCTTCCAAGACACTCTGGGGGGCAAGCCTACACCTCTCGGTCGACAAGACGGCGCAAATGCATTAGAGGCTTGCTTTCCGGACCCTGAACAGGCGTTGACTGCTTCGCAGAGCAGTTTGATCTGTCTTGGGAATTAGCTGAGGACGAAAGACGACCCTTGGAATCCTGGTTACTCACATCTTTGTCTTTCCACTGGGGTTTCCTCACCCTCTGCTCCTTGGACTTTGTGAGGGTCCGGAATCTGCCACGGAGGGTTGATTCGGCTTCCTCGAATCCCCCGAGCCTCTTGATATCCTTGTATGATAATCCGCGACGTTTGCACTCTATCAAGAATGCATTTCGGGCCTCGTTGTGGCATGAGATTGACCTGCTGCTTGTTCGTCCTTGTCGGCTCAGGGCTCCGTTGCTGGCGATTGTGGCATGCGCAGATTGGATGATTTCGTAGCGATGCTGAGGGTACGTGAGGTCGTCATTGGCAAATGTCAACTGACAGTGTCCCTCGTCGTCGACTGCACTCCGGTCATTGGCGCTTGTTGAGTTGTATTCATGAGGTGTGAAGGGTTGAAGCACAAACGGTGGTTGCTGAGGGTAGTGCTGGCTGCGGCCTACAGAAGGTAGACCGTGACAGGCGTCCAGTGTGGCGTTACGAGGAATCTCTTCAAGCCGACCACCGTGATGAGGCAGTTGAGAAAAGCAGTTGTTCTGGAGCTCAAATTCCGGACTCTGCATCTCCCATGGCAGCATTTGTCCGCTACTGGACCAGTGGAGAGGCGTGGTGGCACTGCATGTGCCGGCGATAGGAGTACAAAGATCGTCGGTTGTGGCCACAGAGCTTCCCGGCGAGACATGGTTCTGGAATATCATAGCGCTCCCAGTGTGACTATACGGACAGTGCGCCTTGCGGAAACCGCGTCTAAACGAGTCCGGTAGACTCTCTTGCGAGGCACAAGCTGATATTGTATCTGATGTGGCGTTGGTCTCTGAGAACGAACCGAAGGGATCCGCAGCCATGTACAGACTCGACCTAGGAATGGGGTGAACCAGGCCGCAAGGATAGTTGTCGGACTTGGCCTCTTCATCACAGAAAGCACTGTCTTGTACGGGAACATCGATCTTCAGTTCGTCATGCCGTTCACGATTTTCAGGACCAGTGGGCCCTCCATCAGACTGTCTAGGTCGATGAAGAGTTTGGATATTGGCGAGACAAGTATAGTAGTCAGGAGAGAGTCCATGCTCCGGTTCAAAAGAAGTCAGGACATCTGACCAGGAGCAAACGTCTGGTTTCATCGTTTGTTCATCAGCCGTTGGCAATCTGTTTGAGGCGTCAACTATAGCTCCGGGCTGTCCTTCAGTGACCCCAGTGCAGTGGTTTGTCCAGGGCTGATCACAGTTGAAGACCTTTTCAGAGCACAGCTCAGACTGCTGATCGCAGGGCTTTGCCTGCAGGGGATGGCCACGGTTCTCGAAGAGGTAACTGGCAGGACCAGGATCAGTAGAATCGGAGTTCTTCTCGAAGATTAAACATGATTTGGAGTGATCCGGACCGACGAACACGCGGAGCATCGCTTTAAGAGAGGCCATATTACCCTTCCTGTCGCCTAGTTCACCGCTCCTGTCCTCTACGGCCGGTATAGATGGCGGGTGAAGCGCGTGCATGGGAAGTTTCAATGACGGACTATGCACGTTGCTGGGGTTGACGGGACACCTGCAGGACACATGTGCACACTGAGCATGTCAAGATCCATATGGAGAGGTTTCACCTGCCATGGGGCATGATTGACGTACCGACGATCTCTGACTGGCCGCCAGACGCGCTGTATGTGCGTCCGCTTTTTTTAGGGTGCAATGTCTTAGCTGTTAGTGGCGCCCTGCTCTGAGGACTGAAAAAGGAAGGAGAAGGAAGGTGAGATACAGAAAGAATGCAGCGGATGCTGTTGAAGGGAAATATGCCGATATGACGATGACTTTCACTGCGACATCTGAGAGCGACAGGAACAGAGTCAATTGTTCATGGAAGAGAAGCACAAGTTCGAACAGACGGTATGATGTCTCAGGTGTCCTTGTCTTCCGCAGAAGTCGTTACGATTCGAACATGTCGGGGGTTTCCAAGATCAGAGTGGGACTGTTTCAACACCCTGTGTGTGATGTAACGGCTTATCTGAGTCAAAAGCGAATGGATTGTTCGAGCTCTAAACGAGAGGAATAAATGGACAGGACAACAAAGAGACAGTTTCAGACTGGTTGGCAACCAAAGACAGACACCCCTATGAGCTGCTCTTGACATCGAACGACCAAGTGAGACCGGCCTTTAATAAGATCTCAGACCTTGGATCCCCTGGAAGCATCACCGTCTTCCATCATGGAAATCCCGAATCTTCACACGAGTAATGGCCAAGCCAAATGTCATTGCCTATTTGCCTCTTCCCCCAAAACTAGACAATGGGCTGGAGAACTATCGACTCTTGTCTCAATAGAACATGGATTATACCAGGAGAGATATCGCCTCCCATACACGACCTCTGCAGACCTGCTTCTCCTGGCCTCTACCAGATACTGCCATCCCCGATGATCAATTGACCAGTCTCAGGGCCTTCCCCGCAGGTCTCCCAAACCAGTAGTCCAAACAGTTTGAAGGACCCTTTCCAGACCACACCGAACGAAGTACCGGACATCCGGGCAAATCCCCCAGAGCAATTAGGAAAAATACCCTTGGTAAAGCCCAGTACAATGCACGAATCAGAAACGAGCGAAGACAGACACGCACCGACGGATCCAACCTGACTGGCGTACAGTGTAGACATGCTGGCCCGGATAGCCACATGCAGGACTTTTTTCCTTCGCACTTCCGCGGAGATCTTAGTTCTTGGGCGGCTGTAGGACGGCTGCAGTTGAACCTTTTTTTTTTCCTTTTATTTTCTCTTTTTACTTTCCGTTCTTTTGCCTAGACGGGTTGGAGAAATGTATCGAGGGGAAATAAGAAATAAGAGTCGGAGGATTTTCAAGCTTTTGGAGATCCTTACCTGACTATTGAACGGGACGTTTGATCGGAGTTGATGGGAGAATGCGCGCTGATACAAAGTACAATTTCTGTGCTTTTTTTCTCTCTCTTGCACTGGAACGGCCCCTTCGCGTCATCAGAACTGATAATGAGCGGAATACCATAGATACATGAAAGCGTGGATGGATTATGGTTGTTCAACGACAATTGCGACTGCATATGCAGCTGTAGGACCCTTCACCATCACAGTCACAGACATATCTGGACCAATGGATACAAAGTGTCCTCCCGGTTCTTACTTTAGGTTAGATAAAGCTAAAAGAACGCAAATTCAGGGTTGATCCCGCATCCTTAATTCTAATTCGACAGGCGAACCCATTCAGGATTGACAAAAGATCTAAGCTTCATGCCCTAGTCTAAGCTAAGTCACGTTTTCTATAATTATCCTTGCCGCAAACAACCCGCCTAGAGTGAAATGGACGATTGCCTGAGTCTTGCTAAGGTTCCAACCCGACCATACTCAAATCGATACATCCATCCTGGCAATCATGTTTGACCTTGAACGAATTATCCCATTATTGTAGCCAGACCTATTCTCTGCCATCCCCACTACAAGGATATAGGTGATCATCGCATTAATGCAGCATCCCTGAACCCACACAGTATACCGCCCTTGATGATGATCTCATGAACTCGCTCCATCAGTCCCAACGATGTGGTAACGTGACGATCACGTTATACGAGAGCCGAGCTTGAGGCACCCGCTGAGGCCGCGGTATGGTCTATAAGGCCACACAAGGGAATATTGAACCATCAGATTCCCTGAACTCAAGGACCAAAGTTCTCCATCAACGAAGGTCTGAAAATCGTCCTTCGCCTCTGCGGATAAACAAGTACAATGCCGGATTCTGACTTTGGTACAACCCGTCTTTGATGTGCGTTCCCGCTGCCGTCCATCCGGTTTGTCATCGCCGTTGTTTTGCTTCGGCCGGGTAGAAGGCAGCCGTTGGAATCTTCTCCAAAAGATTTTCGGATCCAGACAATTGCAAATCATACTTTCAATATTCTGCTGATCAGCACATTCCGGTTGACCCATTTGATTGGCATGACTGCATTGATTTGAGTTAATTCCCGTAGCGTGGTCTGATATCCATCCGATATGAATCTTTCCGATACCCTCCGCCTCAAATTGATACATACATATCCTGAGCTCAGACCTCAGCTTATCTATTTCAAGCCTGCTAAACCCCTTGATGATGCCGGAAAGGAGCAGACCAACCATGATCTGCCCGAATGTAGAGGCGAAAAGTACGGATACTTGTCATAGGCACGGACCGGAACTTTCTGTCGACGATAGGGTTCTGCTTTGCCTGTTCCGGTTCCCCACCGCGCCATTTCATGTCAAACGCTCTTGGCTGATAGCGACCCGATATGAGGATGATTCCACAACAACTCTTGGGCCCGATGACATGAGTTGAGCATCGCTTTCCCGCTTAGACCGGTCTTTTGCCTGGCTGCGTTCCTCAAAGTGGTCCAAAAGTCGGTCAACCAACAAAACTGCATTTGAAACAGGACATCAGATCTCTACGGTACAGAACCGGTCACGAGGACTCACCTGTTAGCAGTATGACCGTAAATGCGTATAATATGGCCGGGGACGTCATGAAGGAGTACGCCAACGCAAAATGTTGGACGAAGGAAACCATGCCGAGCACTAATACTGCAAGTACCAGGCGAACAGCAACGCCAATCCCGACGTAGAGCTTGCGCTGGTAGCGATGTGCCAACAGCGTAAAAGCCGCAAAAAGAAACATTGCGATTGACGCCACAACGAAAAAGTACACATAGACAAACCCCAGGACTTCCACATACATCATGAGCAACTGACTATTGTTCAGTTGGCTGATGTCTCGGCCCTCTGACGGCGTAATTCCCATGCTGGAGAATAAAGCTGCTGTTACGTTTCCCACCAAATCGTCGATGCGGTCATGGATCAGCAAATGGACATTACTCGTCACATTGGTTGGGCACAGCGGAAGGGTTGGTAGCTCTTCCAATATGTCCGAGATAATAGCTTTCTCCTTCATCGCTCCCCGACCATAGTCGATTTCCATATCATCAATAGTACTTCGCAGTAGCCTGATGGCAACCTCCGCCTCAGGCCGCGGCTCTTCGCATGCGAACAGGATTGTTTCGGTCAAATACGTCAATTTTAATGTGACATCCAAGGTGAGAGCAAGGATTTGCGATCCTTCAAGAAGTAGGATGAGGGCCACGTGAAACGGAAAATGCAGCTGAGCCCATGCTTGCTGAGAAATTTTGCCAAGTACGCCTCTTGGGGAGACATCGAAATAGGCTTGCCACAGGAAGTACTAAACCGCAGCCGAAGGTCAGTCGACGAAAGCAGAATCAGATCGCTAATGTCCCCTTACCACACTTGTGGTCACGCCGAATATGTGGACAAACGACCACTTGGTCCAGCCACCGGGTCGTACTGTCTTATTGGCGATCCTAGTCACTGCGATGACGCCTTCACCAATGATGATCAATGTAAGGAGGCGCATTCTGACGGCCAAATGAGTGTCTTCAAAGCCGATATCTGGAGTGATGTAAGATACCCCCATCACCGTCCACATTTCAAACCCGAACAAGATAAACCAAACGGTCCAAATGTACGAGTGAAATCCATGATCTTCTTGAAAGGCAAAATACATCTGTCACCCAAGTCAGATTAAGAACGTGGTTGTCATAAAATGTTCCTCATTGAAGGTAATGCGTACCCCGAAATAGACCAAACTCGAAGCGAGTAGGGCTGCAACTATGATGGACAACCCTTTTGCAGCGGGTCTCATCCGTTCATGAATCAAGCATATATTGACCGTGTATTGCACGGCAAGCAGTACTCGACTTCCACCAAGCAGAAGACTCAACGACTGAAAGGCCCAAACGTTCTCGCTGCGGATCTGAGTCGTGAATCGTGTTCCCGCAGACGCGAAGCCTACCATGGCAGCCAGCTGAGCAGCCTTGCAAATTCGTTCAAAAACCGAGTCTCGAGCGAATCGTATATCAAATAATGTAATCTGGAGCCATGTGAACCAGATGACCCCTAGGAAGCCTATATATGCTCCAAGAGCTGGATTTTAGTGTTAGATACACCCGACCAGCCATAATCTAAACCCAACATACCTTCGACATTGTTGATCTCGTGTGTCGCGGTAAATGAAGACAAGTTTGCAACGAAAAACAAATCGAAGAAGAGTTCTATGGGGGTGGCATCCGAATTGCGGCAAAAATGCGGAGACTCGCCATCCTTTTCGTCGATAGGCGTTGCAATAAGACTTAAGCCTCTGTGCTGTCTTCAGTTTGATATAAGTATAACTCCATGTAGATAGCACGTTTCGCGAGTTCACTCACAGCACGTCTTGCTTGATAGGCTCGGGCTTACGCAGCGGTTGACGAAAAAGGGAGAAAAATGGCGGCCGGGACATTATAGGAAAATGTGGACTGAAAATTCATGGGTATCATAAGTCTGAGCAGATCTGATCTGAGAAAATACTATACACCAGCTTCAACGAGCTGTTGGCCGGAAAGAGCGAAATGGTAACGCGTCAGTAGGAAAGAACGTCAGGTTGATGACGGCGACTGGCTCCCAGAGTCGCCTGCCGAGCCAGCTACAGAAGCGCCAAAGCTTTCGAGTCCGCGAGCGTTCTTGATATCGGTAGCAACTGACAGATCCTCATCGGAACCAGGTGTGAGGCCGGCCTCTTGTTTCAGTCTCTCATAGTTATCACCCGCTTCTTTAATGAGAGCTTGGATTTCAACCTCTCGAACAGCTATATCAGCCTTCTCCTTCCTCAGGTCTTCCATTCGGTTGATCATCTGCGTCCTTGACTTTTCCAAGACGGCCAACATCGTGCGCAATCGATCTAGACTTGTCGAAAGTCGAGGTAGCGAAGTTATTTTAGGCGGAGTTCTCGGTCTGTCAATATGGTCTCTGCCGCCGTTGCCGATTGCAGCCCTTCTCTGTGCGGCTTCGTAGGCCGCCTTCTCTTCTAGGTCCGAATCATCCTCATCAGAAATGGCTTCAGCATCCTCAATGAGTTCACGCATCTGTTCACGCTGCTTCACTTTTTGCTCGCGCTCGGCCTTCTTTCCCAATGAGATTCGACCGTCCTCCACATATTCGTCAAATCCCTCAGCAAAATCTTCGTCGTCGCGGATGAGCCTGGTATCGCGCATGTCCTCTTTTTCAGTCTTTGTCACACCCCATTCCTCGTCGCTCATGTTGTCCTCCAGAGAGATGAAATCCTGCTCTTCAGTGCCGTAGGCCTGTTCCTTGGCTAAGCGGGCTCTGCGCGCTTTCTTTTCCCTGATCTCCGCTTCGCTCGGGATGGCCGAAGGCGCAGATACTTTCATCACCTCACCAAACTTCGCAGCGACATCGATCGTCTTATCTTTCTCGTCATCCGTAGCTGTCTTAGGCGTCGACGGTGTGGAATCCCGGAGCTCTTTTAGATAATCGTCGCTGTAGCTGGGCCGCTCTGGTTCTGGTACTCTGATCGGAAGCTGATCTCCTAGTCCAGGTGGTTTTCCTGCCCTTTGAAGCGCACTCTTTTCCAAAGCTCGCCTGCCTAGTCCATGCCGTTTCGGCAGGACGACTTCGCTTTCCTGCCCGCCATCATCTGTCATGGACGTCTCGCTAGGTCCGAAGGATAACCGAAGTTTCGACTTTTGTTTTGAATTCAGGACATTTGGCCTCTTCACTACAGGCCCATTATCTGGTATATGTCAGTCGATGCCTCAGTCCTAGATCGAAAGCCATCTGCGCAGGTGAGTAGATACAGACCTTGTTCGCCGCTGTCGTTTTCCTCATCATCCCCGCCGACCTTGCGAGGCTTTCTCCGATTTGTGAACGCGGAGCTCATGCTAAATAGGCCTAGAAACTTTCCAATCAAAAGAAGTAAGATAATGGAAGAAGAGTTGGCGATTCTGGCCTTTGCGTCACTGGAACTGGGGCATCTTTTTGGAGCATGCGGGAACATTATTTCTCCGAGAGCTCATCCCGCTGCCAGCTCAAAAGTCCGCAACGCGCCAGAAATTGAGACACCACATCAGGACAGTTATTCAGAACGAGCTAGCCAAGATGCCTCAAGCTCAGCCCGAATTGAAGAAGGTATGCCTTGCTCTGCGTCCGTTATTCTAGCTTGACAATTTCCGGAGCTGACATTCATGGTTCGCTAGTATATGGAAAAGCGGGTGTTCTGCCAATTGAACGGCAACCGCAAAGTCATTGGCATCCTGCGAGGCTACGATGTACGTTAGGACTTACCCAAGTTGGCTTGCTGAAGAGATCACTTTTGCGACGGGAAATATGGATTATGATGGGTGTTTCTAGGACTAACAAGGTGTTTCCATTGCAGGTATTCATGAACATCGTCCTCGACGAGGCTTTCGAGGAGAAGCAGGGAGGAGAGAAAGTCGCTATCGGCATGGTGGTATGTCGCGCAACTTGGAGGCTGTTAACGAGCGAAGACTAATATGGCGTGGCCAGGTCATTCGCGGCAACTCGGTGGTTATGCTTGAGGCTCTTGAACGGATATCCGAGAAATAGAAACTGCGCCTTCTTGAGGGCCGGATGATGCGCACGGATTGAATTTACATCGTCATTGTGGGATTGATTTAATGCAATTAGGAGTTCATGGGTTGGTTGCTCATACGAAACGATCGAAAGCATTTTGGATTCTTTACATGTTCGCTCTACGGGAAAATAGAACACCTGATCTCTGCCCGACTGGGCTTGGTTCTTACCGGATGAATTCTACAGAGAAGTCGCGCTGGGACTACAGACCTGACTTTTGTCAAGATATCGTCATTCATGAGGCACTGAGAATAAGGCCGAGGAAATCGCATCACACCAAGAACCCGAATGAACCCCAATGCAAGTGAGCATGGAGCTCCGTTGTAGAAGACAATAAAAGTCAACATGTATAAATCGTTTGAAACAGATCTTCCAGCCATGCGCCGTGACGCTTGTTCAACCATTCCCCTCCAGTTTTTGAGTAAATGCGATGTAATAAAGTACAAAGGTGAAGAAGTTTCGTAGAATGCCACGGCGGGTAAGCAACTTATTTCGGCTTCTGGCCGAATTTGAGTTTCAGCTTGAGCCCGCCGCCGCCACCACTTGGTGTCGACGGCGTCGACGGAGCAGCCGGCGTCTTCGGTGGCTGAGGTGCCGGTGAAGCGGAGAGGTTTGGAATATGCAACTTCGGAATGGGTTGCGGGGTTGGATGAGGAGTTGCTGAGGGGGTGCTTGAACCCAGCTTCGATTGCTTGAATGTGATACGGGGCCCAGGTGGAGGCATCCCGTTCTCTTCGCGTTTGCGCTTCCCACTTGTGGAGGGATCTTTTGAGGGTGCGAGGGTAGTTCGGATTCGGCTGGACCGCGAGAAATGCATGCGGCCCTGAAGCTATTAGTATCAAGAACAAAATCCAAGATCGGAACGGGATTACCTTGCCAAGATGCTTGACTTGCCAATATCGCGGGTACTTCAACTTTACCATCACCGACGTGACCGAGTCATACAGAGCTTTGCACAGATCAGCGAATACGGAAAGTTCGAGAATTCCAATGCCGAGAGAGTTGCATGCAGCCCAGAGACATTCTTTGAAATTCTGATCTCCAGATATTTCCATTTTGAGCGCCTCAATGGCTCCAGTGACGGTTTGCTTCCTGGCGAGATCCGCCTGACGAACCTTGGTTGAAGATTCTTGCTCGATTATCAAGCTGTCGGCATTAGTGGAAGGCTCATTTTCCGGTTCGCGACCAAAGGCAACTGGCGCCAAGGCCTTGCCGAACAGATCATGAAGCCGTCGCCTGAACCAAAGGGAAGAGTCGCTCGACATGGTGAACATGAACCATTTCACAAGCTCAGGACTTTTGAATATATCGAGTTCGACAAGACATTCAAAGGCATCTGCGCGCAGAAGATCGTATGTTCCGGCCCGGGTGTATGGTAGAAATTGCATTATATCCACGTCCAATATCTTGGCACGCATGAGTTGCATTTGACAGCGCAGTGCTGCACGAGAGTAGACGTTTTGAAACGAACTTGACCATTCGTCCATTCTCCTGTACCGATCAAATTCCGCAATAGCGTCCTTTTCCAACTGCTCTTCAGCTTGGGTCTCAAGCATGCGTTCCATGTCGAAATCATCGATGTCGACATCGCGGGATTCAACTTTGCCAAGCATGGCATGGCATAGCGACTGCATCAAAGTGGCGACGTAGAAGTTATCGGAATACTATTCAAAGTGTAAGCGGAGATCGTATGCGTCTTGTAGAACGGCTTGCCCACCTCGTTGTTAGAGTTGTCATTGAATTTCAGCTTATCATATAAGAAGCGCTTGACTCTCAACGGTGTCTTCCCGTCATTATCGCGCACCTTAGATATAGCTTCTGGAATCGCAAGCTGAAGCACGTATGCCGCCCGGTCGGAGAAATCATTCGAGCGAGTCATGGGTGATCCAGGAAGGCAGAACAGCTCTTGGAAAGCCCTTTCAAGGTGAAAGAGCCCTAACCAGTTGATTTCTTCCTTTGCATGTTTTACTAAAGCTCTCGCTGCGGCTTCACGGATACCATAAAAGTATCTCCGATCCATCAATGTCCGAACAAAGATGGTTGAGATAAGGGGGTGCTCTCGCTGAGCTGCCATGTATTGCAGAGACTACCACTGTCAGTATAAGAAAAGAAACAGGGCAAGTCATTGCGCTCACCTCCAATTGCGCGACGACATCGCGATCTTGTTGAAGTTGCGAGAGGTACATATAGCCCGGCATCACAAGCGACAGCTTGCATATCCATTCGAAGTCCGCGTCCATGCGGATCCACTCGTATGACTCCTGACCCATTCGATCCTCGTCCTCTTTACTCCAGTCTGCGAGTCTCCACTCCTGCATTTCCTCTTCAGTCTGGAGCACGTCACCAAGGCAATACAGTAACACATCCTCTTGTGTTTCCGCATTTGGGTCCCCTCCGGATACCGCGGCTGCACGCTCTTTTTGCCTTTTGTTCCGCTTGAGCCTCTTGTACTTGGTATTGTAAGGGATGTCGAACTTGGTGACACCTTCTTTGATCTCAACGATGTGCTCATAAGGAGTACCGTCAGCTTCATGAATCCTTATCGTCATAGAGCCCGAGAACACTGGTTGAATGTTTCCGGCATAGACTCCTCGAATTTCCTCTTTGACATCGCGCATAAATGTGTTTTTGTCGAGATCACGCGTACTTGGTTGATCAGCTTGAACTTGCTTGATCATCATCTCCACCACCAGTTTCTTTTTATTGAATCTTTGCGTGGCTTGAAATCGAGGACATCCAGCACCGTAGACCCATTGTTGGAAGAAGGTATCCAACTTCGCATGGCCAAGTCGTTCGCATATCTTCTGGAATTGGGAAGAGGTGATCGCTCCATTGGGTATATCCCCCATTCGGGCATTCAGGAACATGCGTGAAATAATTCGAGACATTGTGGCTTTCCCACTTGCTTTTGTGAGACGTCGATCCAGAATGAAAAGGACGAGCGGCGCTTTGAGCGCGATGAACTCAATTTCAGAAGGATCGAGGTTCAAGATATTTCCCATATCATAGATCGAGGGACGTTCATAATCCAAATCGCACACTCGATCGGACATTTGTTTCAGTCGAAAACGGTATTCGTTATTACCGCAAAGCTTCCTCAAGAACGTATCGGTAATATACCAGGCGACACCAACCGTGACCCATGTGTCTGTGGGTTCCTTGGGAACGATATTGACACCGATCCACTGGCATGATAAGGCATGGACAAGAGCTCGTGTTGAGTCATACATTGGATCGATGATATCCTCAGGAAAGAGGAGATGGTTGCTGCATATTGACAAGCACGCCGTTGGCAGCGTGTTTTCGGGAGTGTCGTCCACAAAGCACATTTTGTAACTTGCGAAGGGATACGAGCCATAAGTCAGCGAAAGAAAGTCAATAGCTTTCGCCATGGGGAAACATGTGTTTCTGACTTCATCCCCCCTTCCTGGGAGACAGAACGCGTGCAAAGGAATAGCGTTCTGGCCAAGCTGCTCATCTTGATCGCTCTCACGGAAGTCGGAGAGGTTTATATATTCAAAGGGGCCGACGGCGAAGCCAATTTGCTTGGCAGAAAGAGGCGAGATACATGCGAAGGAAACCGTTTTCTTGCTAGGATCCCGGGGATCGACGATCTCATCTGTCATATCCCCAGAGCAAACCACTGACAAGTCAAGAGTCTCGTCGTCCGGAGAGATGAATCGACTACCCCCAGGTGTCTGCTTTGAACGATGAGCGCCAGACGGATCCCGAGTTTTGCGGTCGAAGATATCGCCTAAAGAGCACGGACATTTGACGGAGATTTCCCAGGTACAACGAGACAAAGGGTCGTCAACACAAGGGAACAGAGGACTTGCAGCGCCGTAACCGAGCGAGTTTGTTGTGTAAGCATGCGGATAGCGCCTGTCGCCGCTGTCCAAACCGACGAATTGTAGCCCATCCCGAATATTCTCAATCGTAAACTCGATGTAGACCGTGAGCGCCGAAAACCGAGGTAACGAAGTTTCTGCCAGTTTAGAACTCAAGGGCCCATCCGTGTCTTCTCCGGCACCACTAGCACGCAAAGTCATTTGATCCTGAGCCTCCTGCGAGAAAGGATCGAGCTCCTCAATCCGAACACTTTTCGGGATCGTCACAAGCAGGTCCGGCTCGGGGGTAGTCTTGAGCAAACCCTCGATCTTGGTCGATAGACGCTGGTGATAATGAGGGCCGTAGAGCTGGAGGTATTCGTAGGGATCCGCATATTTGATCGTAGGCGCCTTTCCATTGACATTTAAGCGTTTCAGCTCGCCCTGTCGGAAGTTCAATCGAATGATTCGAAGGTCCTTGTGATGCGGATGGATCGTGATTTCTGTCTTTCCCTTGAGGCTTCTGGTCGCAAAATCTATCTCCAGTTCAACTTTCTGGTGTGCGACAGTGAATCCCAATCCTGGCCACAGTGGCCCGCCGGGCGTATCGACGACGCCTGGCATCGCGCAAGATACTCAATCGTGCACTGCGCCGCGAGCGCCACGCTGACCATCCACCGTCATGTCCAGCTCAATGAGCAACCATTCCTCTCGTAATACTTCCTTATGAGACGTTCAAAAGATAAGGTGAGGAAAATTGTCAATGAATAAAGGTTCGTCAACGGCGGGGAAATGTCGAAGTGAGCAGGAGCGAAGTTGGCAAGATAGAAGACGTGATCGAAATAGACTCGTAGTAAATTTGTCTTTCGGTCTCAAGCTATATTTGAAGATGAAGAAGTGAAGGAAAGGCTGGGTTAAGGTGGAACAGCCAAGAAGTGTTCCTTCGAGCTGATCTACTTCACCTCACTTCCCTTGTCATGTCGCGTCAAAAGATGCGGAGCTTCCACCGGCAACACGTGATCGTAATCTGCTGTTACCTCCGAGAGTCCGAATCCGATTATTCCTCCGCAGAGGAATCTAACCTCGTTCTTTTTTGCTTTATCTGCCTCTGGAGGTTTGACGAGTTTTCGGATCAGACACTTCACATTAAATTGAAACTCTCCAAACTCTGCGAGGTCCTGTGAAGTAATTGGCCAGTCTCGGATTGTTCCACCGCCTCACCTACGACGCTATGAAACTGGGCGCAACAAATTGAGACGACGTTATTGTTTTCTTTGGGACAAATCCACAGCATACAACCGAGATCAAGATGAGCGCAATCTTCAGGAGGATCAAAGGTCCGTCCAGATATTTATTCATCACATAAACTATTCTGTAAACTAATCAACTCTTTCTTCTCGTCACACAGCGACTCAAGACACGCTTACCGATGAAATTTTGATGCCCCTGAAGAGTTACAAGTACCAGAGTGTGGATAAGTCTTACATCTCGAATTACATTCTGAAGCATTACGTATTACGCCCATTGCTCCTCCTACATACCGTACGCTCTCGCTCTGACAGAAAGATTGTCACACTAGTGGAATGCATTTGTCGAAGTTCTCCCGCTATGGATTGCTCCGAACATGGTCACGTTATTGGGCTTCCTTTTCATAGTAGGAAATGTGATGCTCATAGAGGTGTTTATGCCAGATCTTGTCGGACCGGTACGCATCCCTCAAGCACGAAGAAATCTACCCATGGGTCACTGACACTCTGTCCAAGGGTCCATCCTGGCTGTACTATAGTTTCGCTCTTGGCATGTGGATGTAAGTTAACGAGACGCACAGTGTGGCTGTTCGGGAAAGTGTCTGATCGATTAGGTATTCTACCTTGGATAACGTCGATGGTAAGCAAGCGCGGAGGACCGGGACGTCCAGTGGACTGGGTGAGCTTTTTGAGTATGTGATCACTCCGAGGCCGCATGGATTGTCACTAAACAACCTCCAGCCATGGAATTGACTCGCTTAACTGCACTCTGGCTAGTCTGCTGGAGACAGCAGCAATGGGCTTTGGCTCTTCCCAATTAGGAGCCTACACGGCTCTTGTTCCCTGTCTCGCGATGTACTTTTCGACCTGGGAGACTTACCACACGCATACCCTCTACCTGGGTTACATCAATGGGCCTACCGAAGGCTTGCTGGTTGCAATCGGAATCATGATCGCTTCAGGATACTATGGGCCTCAGATATGGAGTCGGCCGATTGTTGAATTCCTGAATTATCCCCAGATATTTGGGACTTATTCGGTTAAAGATGTCTGGGTCCCATTCCTGCTTCTATCGTTCTTTGTCGGCCATCTGCCGGGATGCGTCTTCAACGTCATCGAAGCTCGCAAAAAGCAAGGTCTGCCAGTGTCAACCATCTTCAAGGAGTGGGTTCCAATGATTGTCTTCACCGTTTGCAACATTGCTTGGCTCTTCTCTCCCTACTCGACTCTGCTGGCTCAAAATCGACTAGTCCTGTATTGTTGGACTATCTCGTTTGTCTTCGGACGGATGACCACCAAGATCATTCTCGCTCATCTTCTCAGGCAACCGTTTCCGTACTGGACTGTCCAGCTCACGCCGCTTATCGGCGGTGCGATTCTTGTGAACCTGCCCCGCTTGGGTCTTCCTGCAGTGAGTGCATGGGTAGAGCTTCTGTACCTGAGGGCCTATCTGTTGTTTGCCTTCGTCGCCTACATGCATTGGGCGTTCTTGGTGATCAATCGGATTACGACTTTTTTGGGTATTAACTGCCTGACCATCAAAAAGGATCGCTCGACGGCCAGGGAACAGGCTTATCGCAATTTCGGTGAGAGCACTTTGGAGGTCCCCGATGCTACGGACCCTCTCAAGGCTGGGCTCAAACACCACTGATCACGCTTTCATGTCATTATTTGGTTGATGACAAGCGATATTATTATCTTCATCCTATGGAGCGCCAAGCAGCGCACTCCGCATTGATCGGCTGCGAATTCAAGCCCTTGCTTATGACACTAAGGGCTTGTCCATGAGCGTTGGATTTCCATTACGTTCTGTTGTAATTATACTTTGTTTCGCCGCCTGGGGATATATCCTCAGCTCCATGACGAGTGACTTTACGAGTTTGGTTATGGCCTACGCGACGCACATAATTGTTGTATCATGAGGCATGGGAGCCGGTAGTGTGTGGATACATTTCACTCATGAGTTTATACATAGATGCATAATGGTAATATAGATAGACATATTCACTTGATTATCGTACATTCATACTCACAGAATGACAGCCAGATTAAAAAAGCGCAATTAAAATACATTGTGCAGAAGCAGAACAGTTGAAGCCGAAAAGGAGATGCAAGCCTCGTGATCAACTTCGATGGCAGAAAATCAGTAAAGTGCTCAAATTCAACCTCCAGCTCATCAATAGCACATCAATTCAATCTTCCTTAGTCCTTCTTCCTTCCGGTTATTCCTAAAGAATCCGTTAAAGAAGACAGTCCCAAGCCACCAAGGAGCTTATCGAGACCCAGTCCACCCAGCAGACCGTTTAGGAGAGGACCCAATCCAAGAGTGTCGAGCAGACGACCTACCAGGCCCAACACACCGCTAAGAAGCAGACCAACAGCGGCGATGATTTGGAAGAGAGGCTCGCTGAGCAGAGCCCACAGAGGATTGATCTTCTTCTTTGCATGAGGCATGTCTGCGATCCTCTTGCGGCCGTTCTCGATCGTGGTCATCACAAGCTCGCTCAGCTCCTTGATCTTCTCAGCGAGTGCGTACTCCTCGGGAGTTGCTTCGTGGGATGCAGCGCGAGCCTTGGCAGTGGAAGCAATCGAGCCATCAGGATCCAGAGCCCGGATGGCTCCGTTGCATTCCTGGAGGACCTGGCCGCCCTCTTCGATCAGGGGTCGGACTTCCTTGACTAGCTTCTCTTCGTCCAGTTCGTCGCGTGGTGTGCGATCAGCTCTCTCCAGCAGCTGTAACATGCCAGTTAGCAGATTATCTCGAATGAAATACGGGTCGACTGTCAACTTACCTCGGCGATTCTCTTGCAGGTAGGCTGAAGACGATCGAGAGTCTGTCCGATGATACCAGCCATCTTCTTCGCCAGGTCTCTGTCTTGCTCCGCCTTCTTCTGGGCCTCCGACTCCTCTTCGGTGGGACCTGGTTCCGGTTCCTCTCCCTTCTCCTCCGGCAGGTTCTCGAGCAGGGTACACTCGCCCAGCTTGTTTCCGTCGTTATCGACAACATAGCCGTTGTCGTCGATCGACTTGCCGACTAGGGTTGGCAGATTGCCCGACGTCAATTTACCAATGAGGTTACCGTCAGCGTCGCGGACCTCGCCCTCTTTGTTGACCTTTCGGCCGGACATGGGGTTGACATCACGCTTCTTCTCTTCTGGCTCCCAGCGTTCAGCCTTGCCGATGGTGTTGCCATTCTTGTCGAGAATGTCTCCGTCTTCGTCGACCTTTCGACCAAGAAGTCGTTTGGCATCGCCTTCGATGACACGGCCGATGACACGGCCGCCGGCCACGACAACACCGTCTTTGCCAACTTCCGCGTTATCAAATCCGTAGAACTGTCCCTCGGGCTTCTCCTGCTCCGCACCCGGGACGAGCTCTGCTCTGCCGATGACTTTCCCATTGTCGCCCCAGATTTGACCCTGGCCGTCCACCTTTCTGCCAGCAAGGCGCTTACCATCTCCGGAAACGATACGTCCGTAGATGTTGCCCTGCGCGTCGACGACGTTGCCAGCCTTGTTGACCGTCTTTCCCTCCAAAACAGACAGATCCGGCTTCTCTTCCTCCTCTTCTTCCGGCTCGTAAGGCTCAGCGTGCCCTTTGACGTTGCCGAACTTGTCGACGATGTCTCCGTCTTCATCGACGGCGCGGCCCCGGAGCTTCTTGGGGTCGCCCTCGGTCACTTTGCCGACAATGTTGCCTTCATCATCTTCGACGAAGCCTTCCTTATTGACGATAAGGTTGTCAAGGCCGGCAAACACGCCTTCGGGCTTCTTTTCACGCTCCTCTTCGGGGATGAGCTCCACGCGTCCAATGGGTTTGCGGCCGTCCCAGATCTGGCCGTCATCAATCTCTTTGCCGGCCAGCTCCTTTGGATTCCCCTCTACAACACGAGCAATGGGCACGCCGTTTGGACCAATAACAAATCCCAGCTTGTTGGGCTTCAGGCCGTTCAGCTGAGAAAGATCGGGTTTCTCGGGCTCCGGCTCGTCGGGGGATTCGTAGTATTCAGCCTGTGCGATGACATTGCCGTTCTTGTCGGTAATATCGCCGTCTTCGTCGACCGCACGTCCAAGCAGCTTCTTCGGATCTCCTTGAACGATCTTGCCGACTCGCTTGCCATTCTCGTCTTCAACCCATCCGTCCTCAACAACGTGAAGACCTTCCAGGCCAGCGAACGGTGGCTCGCCCTCGTAATCTTCAACAGGAAGGGTCTTGGCCTTGCCGATAACGTTACCACGGTTGTCCCAGAACTGGCCCTTGTCGTCCAATTGAGCACCCATGCGGGAGATCTTCTTTGCGTCGCCTTCGACGAGCTCACCGACTGGCTTGCCAGTGTTCGGGTCGACGATCTTGCCTGATTTGGTACACTTCATGCCTTCAAGTGAGGAGAGTGGTGGCAGTTGTTCCTCGGTCTCTTCCTTGTTGTCATCAACTGCGGTCTCGGCCTTCTCTGCTGTGTCATCGACGTCTTGCTGCTGGACGCTTTCAACTGCTTGCTTTGCGACGTCCTCTTGGGTGCTCTGGTCTTCAGGGGCCAATTTCTCAGTGTCGTCGACCTCGTCTGTGGCGTCCTTGGCTTTTTGGGAGACAATTTCAGCGCGGCCGACCGGATCGCCATCCTCATCCAGGACCTCGCCTTCCTTGTTCAGAGTGTAGCCGACAAGATCCTCTGGGTCGCCCTCGGCGATCTTTGCGACGACTTCGCCGGACTTGTCTTTGATGACGCCCCTTCAGACACAGGAAGGCCATCAAGGTCGGCGAGATCAGTCACACCATCCTTGGCCTCTTCGGTCGTCTCTTCGGCCTTATCCTTGGCCTGTTCCGCAGCGTCGTCGGCCTGCTCGGGCATCTCACCAGCCTTGTCAGTAACATCCTGGTCTTCTTGTGGCAAGGGTTCCACTCGGCCGATGAGGTCGCCTTCTTCGTCGACGATCTCTCCCTTGTCGTTCACGGTATAGCCAACAAGATCCTCCGGGTCTCCCTCGGCGACTTTGCCGATGGCCTGGCCGTCCTTGTTCTTGATGAGTCCTTCTTCTGAGACGGGAAGACCATCAAGGTCGGCGAGATCAGTCACGGCATTCTTGGCTTGTTCAGTCGTTTCTTCCGCCTTGTCCTCAGCCTGGTCAACAGTCTCTTCGGCCTTATCCTTGGCTTGATCGGCAGTCTCGTCTGCGGTGTCCTTCGCTTGCGAGGCAGCATCCTCAGCCTGTTCTGGAACATCCTTCGCCTTGTCGGTGAGATTCTGCGCAGCGTCAGGCAGAAGCTCCACGCGACCAATGAGATCACCGTCTTCGTCAAGGATCTCTCCGTCATCACCCACTTCCTGGCCGACAAGATCTTCGGGTTCACCTTCCACGACCTGTCCCAGAGGGTTGCCATCCTTGCCGAGGACCTGACCACCTTCACAGACCTCAAGGCCCTTTAGGACGGATAGATCGAGGTGGGTAGAAGGCAGATTCTCGTTCGCCTTGTCAGTAACATTCTGCGCTTCGTCGGAAGGAAGGTCTTCCTTCGCCTTGTCTGTGACAGTTTGCGCTGCATCAGGCAAGAGTTCGACACGGCCAATGAGATCACCGTCTTCATCAAGGATCTCCCCGTCGTCACCCACTTCCTGGCCAACGAGATCCTCAGGCTCGCCTTCCACGACCCGTCCCAGGGGGTTTCCATCCTTGCCAAGGACCTGACCACCTTCACCAACCTCAAGGCCCTTCAAGGCGGACAGGTCAAGGGGGGTAGACGGAACATTCTTCTTGGCTTCCTCTCCGACATCCTGCGCGGTATCCTTCACCTTACCACCAAGATCCTTTGCTGCGCCTGCCAAGTCCGAGGCCTTGCCGCTGCGGCTTGCAGAGCCGGATGCCTGCGACTGGACATCATCCGGGACGGGGGACGAAATGCCCCTCTGCTCAGCCTCGGGCTTGGACTTCTTCTTCGGTTCGGCAGGGGGTGCCTCCTCTTCTTCCTCTTGCTCCTCTGGCTCGTCCTGGTTGTCTTCCGGAGCAGGCGATTCCTCAGGCTGCTCGGACTCGGGCTCGGGTTCCGGCTGGGACTTCTTCTTCTTCGGCTGGGGAGATGGGGTTGGAGGCTTCTCGTCGTCAACGTCTTCCTCGACAGGCTTGGGCGTTTTGGTCTGTAGCTTGCGGGGGTCTTCTTGTTCTTGGGGGTGGCGATCTCCGGCCTTGAGGACGCGGCGCTGGAACCGGAACCCTTGCGAGACTTGTGGGGGTACCAGGGTTTCTCTGGACGGGGTCACGAACGCTTGGGGAGGACATTTCGAAAGCGTCTGAATGAGAATCGATAAGCTCTGAAGATTGGGAGGTATAAAAGGGGTAGTTGAAGCTATGTCTCAACGAAGTCAATTGGGGACCAATGCTGAAGGAATATCAGGTCAAGTAGATGTATGGCTTTGCAGGTCAATTCGTAAGTCAATGAGTCGTAGTCGTAGTCAACCGTAACGTAAACTGTTAACTGTAATAGAAGTAAAAGTACAGTGCAATTGAGTTATCTCGTGAATATCAGATGAGCTTTTGCGTAGATCAAAGTATGATTTAATTATACAGCGTCAATTAGAGTCAAGTATAGGTCTTTCTGTGCGGATATCTATCCATCTCAAGGTAACATCCCCCTCAACTCATTTAAATGCACACAAGCAGCAATCACTTGCTCCTATTACCATCCTACGTCATGGACTATCGACATCATCATGCACCAAGTCAGGCCAACGCTACCAGTATCAAGTTGTTGCTTCCATTGGCCTCTTGTCCCGCCATTCGCTTCCTTCCTATCAAGCAAGACATTCACCGGGGGCACATATGTAATGAGGGTAACGCAAAAGGCAGCCACAGTCGATTGGGACCGGACGGTGGCTTGAGCCCAAGGGTCGATCCGTGGGATGGACAGGCTTGTATGGTAGACTGGATATCGAATCAGGAGGGAGAAGAGGAAGGCAACCGGTTGCAATAAATTAAATATGACTGTATAAAGTGTACAAATCCGGCCGAAAAGGACCCGCCTGAGAGTCTCCACGGGAGCTACATACCACGGTGCAGGACGAGTGTTGATACTCGATCTGGGTTTTTCTTTTCCTCGCTTTCGGTTTTTTGACAGACTGATGAGGAGTCATAGTTGCGTCAGGGTGCAGGGGGGTTGAATTGTTTATTATTTTGTGTGTTTGAAGCTGTCTTTAATTGTATACATTATGGGAGATGGCGTAGAGAGATATCCACCATAGTGAGATTACATCACAGTACAGACAGACTCCGGCTGTACGACAGACAACTGCATTTAAAGACAGTATCTCTCTCTCTCTACTATCCTGTATACGTAGAAGGTATCTGTATAGAAGACAACAATCCTGTTCCGAATCTAATGGCTCGCTAACAGCACCTAAGATGAGATCATCAACAAAGTCTTACGTTAGTCCTGCTCCCAGATTTCCAATCGGAGAATTTACATCGATCGTCTGCGCACCCCATCCAGCCCATTGATATCACCTTTTTCCAGAGGATTGTAAATGATTGGATCGATCCAGCTTTGGCCGTTGAATTAGTGTGCCACGGCGGCATGACAGGTCGATTGGGCCGGTTCCGATGACGTGCGGTGGAGATGGCCAGCCCGCGTGTTTCTCCACTCACCTGTCAGTGGCTTAGGATATAATATTAATAGGATCTGTTCCATGGATGGGAGGCGGTAGTTGTGTAGGTGCTAATAAAAGTGCGAGGGGTAGAGAGGTACTGGTACTGGTATCCGTGCAGTATACCTCTGTATACATATGTGATGGCTCGATGATGCTTCGGGGCCCACAGTCGCTTGCTAGGCCTAGGACTCTCTTCAGTGTCTCTGATGAAGGTCGTGATATTGCAGTGGTCTACTGAAACATGAGTATACAGAGTACAGCATTGCCAGATTGGAGTTTCCTGGGAGATGGACTCTGGTCAATTTGTGCGGTGTGGTGGTTGTTGTTGTTGTGTACCTAGAAGTACTTGCAGAAGCTCTCCTTGACGTAATGCGGCCAGGGCTGTCATCACAACCTGAATCAGCCACCGATGGCACGGGCGCTGATTGGTGGAGTATTGTGAAGTATAAAATGAGCATAATTACTAATCCGAATTACTATGTTGGAGGTAAGATTTATGAACTGCTGTCTGAGGCCACTAATATAGAGGACAGTGAGCACCAACAAGTCTTCCTGCTTGGAACTAGTCAGGTAACATGTATACCTCTCATTAATATTGCTTGGTTTCTAGAATTGTTCCATCCATTCCTCCGGTGATGGCGATGAACTCTTGCAATTTGACCAGCGTGTCCGAGTTCCATCCTATTTGCGACAGACCCCAGCAAGATGGATATTACTGTCCCGTGTCAAGTCCCCCTTTAGTGCTTCGCTTCTCGAAACCGTCCTCTTACATGAATTAGCACCTTTTCACATGGATGATTGCAGAACCAGGTCTTCGAGCTTGATGAGCTCTTCTACTGCTATGAGTCTCGATGTTACTGTTACAACTGACCATCAGTGCATTATCACCCCGCAAAGATACCTTGTCTGACAGTCTACGGAGAGACGGAGTATGGAGTAGCAGTGTCAAAGATACTCTTCCTCGGTTCCACAGTGCATTTCTCAAGAGGGAGAGAGCGTCGATCGACAGCTACCATACTCTTCTTGGTATGGAGCTATTCCACTAGCCCTTAATATGCAGTTTCTCATTCGCTCTTTCAACACCCCTTCCCCGGACATATTGTCGGCACACCGGCGATCCAGGAAGATGTCCGATGCTAAGGCGACCCGGTCTCCGATAAGCACCGTATGTTCTCGATAAGGAGACGGTCACACGAGGCGACGATGGCCAGACCACAATGTTGACTTTAATTTATCACTCTGGGTCTGAACCAAGCGTATTTTTCGATTGTGTCTGTTGAGTTCCCTCACGCACATCCACCACAATGGGTGACTCGAAAATGGCATCTCCTGTGGCCGACGCTGTCGACGATCATGGCTCTAGTATCATCCGGGTGCAAAATGCAGATGAACTGCGTTTGGCGCAGATGGGTATGCTTTTCAATGGATTCGTCAATGGGCTGTTGTTGACCACGCCTAGGCCATAAACAAGAGCTAAAAAGACATTTTTCGGTGTGGAGTCTGATCGGTCTGGCTGCGAATTGCACCATATCGTGGACTGGTGAGTCTCCCCTGATCAACATTGGATCTTTTTTTTTTGTTTGTTTGGTTGACATCTCCATTGCAGGTTTGGGTCTCGGCTTGATCACCTCTATCAACGCTGGTGGACCTGGTGCTTGTAGGACACTCCCTGATACTCTGCGTTACATCATGGTTGACGGCTTCAGTAATCTACGGGTTTATCCTCGTCTTCATCCTGCAATGCTTTTTGGCTACCTCTTTGGCCGAATTTGTGTCTGCATACCCGGTTGAAGGTGGCATGTACCATTGGATTGCTGCCATTGCCCCGAAACGATACAACAGCATTCTGAGCTTCGGGACGGGTTGGAGCACGGTGTTCGGATGTGAGCTTGGCTGGGATCATTGATTCGAGACAAATCTGACGGGGACAGGGATATTCACAACCGCATCTACCAATTTGATCTACGCGACCAACTTCATGGCCTTGATTGCGCTGTACCAGACGGATCTCGTGATTCAGCCATGGATGACATTTGTTGCGTACCAGGGATTCAACATTTTGACGGCGGGAATAGTCATGTTTGGGAATCGTTATATTCCACTTATCAACAAGTTTTCCTGTGAGTTGGTATTTTCGCGTTTTATATATAAACCTGCCATGCTGACAGTCGAGCAAGTATGCTATCTTCAACTGGCCTGGTTCGTCATCATGGTCACCGTTGCTGCCGCAGCTCCCAAGCATAACGATAGCGAATTCGTTTTCAGAACGTGGATGAATAACACCGGCTGGGAGAACAATGTAATTTGCTTCATCACAGGACTGGTGAACCCGCTATACTCTCTTGGTGGTCTGGATGGCATAACGGTTTGTCCTTTCCCTGGAAAATGTCAAGGCTCTTCTGACCGAAATTGCAGCACATCACAGAGGAAATGCCAAACGTAAGTAGTATTGCTCAAGTTCGCATCCAGCCGCTGACTTGTCTCGCCCAACAGCCCGGACGAAACGCCCCTTTAGCCCTCGGTGAGCTCTTTTCTCTCCTTGCAATCCCTCACCTTGCAACTAATGTCGAACACAGCCTGCACGCTCGGCATCGCTTTCGTGACCGGACTTACCTACCTGCTCAGTCTCATGTACTCCGTCCAAGACTACACCAGCCTAGCATCGACCCAGACTGGCCTTCCCCTGGCAGAGATCTTCCGCCAGGCGACTCAAACCCGCGGCGGTGCCTTTGCCTTGACCTTCATGCTGTGGGTCGCTCTGGGCCCATGTATGCTCGGCTCTCAGCTAAGTATGCCCATGCATTATCCCCACACACATTTCTCTGCATCATAAACCAACATCTCACGCTCTAGGTACCGGCCGAGTATTCTGGGCCTTCGCTCGTGACGGCGGCCTCCCGCTCTCGAGGATGTAAGTAGCTTCCCGATTCTAGTCATTCATATTACGGAAACCCTAACAGGCAATCCTAGCTGGGCAAAAGTCAACCCCCGCTTCGAAACCCCGTTCAATGCCCAACTATGCGTGGGCGTCATCACTGCCCTGCTGGGCTGTATCTATCTCGGTTCTAGCACCGCCTTCAACGCCATGATGAGCTCGGCGGTGTAAGTGCAGGCCTTTTTCCTTGTGTGAGGTGCAACTGTGTAACTCGATGTGCTGATCCGTGGCATGCAGGACGATTAACAACCTGGCCTACCTCGTTCCCATCCTCACCAACGTCCTTGTGGGTCGTCGGACGATGCACCGCGGTCCCTTTTTCCTGGGTCATGTTGCCGGTATGGCTGTGAACATTATTACGGTTGCATGGCTGGCGTTTGCCATTGTGTTCTTTTCGTTCCCGTATTATATGCCCGTCACTGGTGAGTTCAAACTTGTGGATAAGAAGCTGGTGACGTCGGGAAGGCTGACAGGCTGGACAGCGGCGAATATGAATTACACCTGTGTTTGTGTTGGTGGATTCCTGCTCATCGCGTTGCTCTGGTGGGTTGTTGCGGGGAAGAAGTACTCCAAGAATATGCAGAAGGCGCGCGAGGAGGAGCAGAATGCCGCTCGTGCTATGATGGTTACTCACGAGGGAAAGGAGTAGGAAGTAGGATCTTGACCTACGACAGACAGTGACATGTAGGCTTTTTTATTGAATATCATGCTAAACTGTGTACCGGTAGCCGACACCAGTGCAGTCTTGGAATGAGGCCGTATCATGATGTAGTCATCGCTCATGTATTTCAAGACGGACGACTTTTACCATAAATGCCTCTAAACCCAATGCAATAGGAAGTTTAGTGATAGACAAGCGGTGATGACTTCGACATAAGACAATCGATCGAGTGAAAGATGGTACTAGCACATCCGACCAAAGAGAAACTCCTTGACGATGGGCGAACCCGAGAATTCAGGATTGAGTAGGACGCAGCTAGGTATCTAAGGTTAACTCCAGATGGGAAATTGTCGAGGGGACGGCAAACTTACTTCAAGAAGTATTCCAGACCGACTCGTCGGGATTCAAGAAATGTAGGGCGAAATTTATCTAAGGATGTTCGTTAACTGAGAATCAGTTATGTCTACTCAGAGACACATACAGAGCACACTTTTAGGAGGCAGTGCTGGTAAAGCGTTCTTCGCATGTGGGAACGAGGCTTGCAATTGCCGTCGTAAGTCATCAAATTCGGAGTATCTTTGCGCTGTGAGCAAGATGACTGTCGTCCAGCTGTTTGGGCCCGATACGATGATATGATCGGGACGTACCTCATGCGAACAGTTATGGGACCACCCTACGGCTACGTTAGCACCAGCTCAATATCGTCATGAACAAGGAGCCAACATACATCAAGGGTTTGTATTCTGCAATTCCAAACCACATATGCTCCTACCCCAGTCTTCCCTTGGACAACCGCATAGTCATCAACGATGACACTCTTGGCCCAGAGACCCCGGCTGGTTTCCGAGTTGGGATCCTCAGTGTGATCCTCTAATGTGATGGCCGGCTGATCCAAAGAGATCTGAGATGTCCGGGATGCATTCCGGTGGTGGCTCCAGTACGGCGGAATCACACCGGAGACGGGACGATCAGTGGACGAGGCATGACGGGCCTGTGGGAGGACAGAACCGTTGCTCACGCTAACCCCGTCGGATAGCGCAGCAGCGACAATGGTATCTCTCTCGACAGCGGGGGAGGATGTGGAAAACTGGGGAGGAGAGGATGACGGCTGCGGCCGAGGCACCGAACCGGTCTCCTCATTCGCTGGCTCCATCCATTTAACTACCTAGAGGGGTTGGACGTGCTGGCACGGACGGCAACCAGACAGGGAGAGTGACAATCAAATTCTGGTACTCTGTAATATTCGACTAAAACAAGTAAGTAAAACGGAATGAAATGCAACCTAAAATGAGGGGAGCAACGGTGGAAGCAAGGGTACGGGGACGCACCGATATTGAACACTAACGGGGCTCACTAGCGAAGCTTGCCAGGTGGTTGGTCTGTGTCCTGCTCAGTGGATGTAGTAGAGGCGTTGAGAAGAAAGTAAAAATAGAAAAGAAATCGGATCAGATGCAAGGCTACTTCAAAGAATGTTGTCCATGAGAAATTGATGACCAGTCTGAGACATAACCAATGCGATCTGACCATCGATGTCCTTACATTTCTTGATTCTCGGGTCGACCTCCTTCTCTTTGATGTCCTCTGGCCAAATAAAAACCAGGTCACGAGACTTTCAAAAATACCCGAATAAATAGTTATTGAAGAAGAAAGTCATGAGTCAGCGTGTTTCCTTATTTGTACTAGTCCCTTCATCCTCTTTTGGTTCTTCATCCCCCTCGGCATTCTTCAGCAGCTGTCCTCAGTTATTGTTGATCCAACTTTTATCACGAGAAACGAGAAACATCTTCTTTCCTCTGTTCCAACTTATACCTGACTATGTGTTGAAAGATTATCTGCCTTCGAGGATTATCGAATACCATTAGCCATTATTCTGAAATCTCGTTCGTGCTCGTTCTGTTGGCGACCGGTACCATCCATCTAGTGTATTCACTAGAAGAAGCCAAGAGTGGTTCCGTCCAAGCAAATTCCTTGTTTGGGGAAAGTCAATGTCTACGGGTGAGACATCTGGACACCTCCCCGAGCAGTTATCAGTCAATAATATTGATCAGCTCTCTTTGGTCCAAACTTCCCAACACCATGTTTCGGCTCCAGCGTCAGGTGCGGAGAAGACAGTGATAAGGATTTGGATCATTGAAGTACGGATGCGTAGTTTGTATGTAAATTTGAGATACCCCCACGTTCGATGGGAACCATGTAGATTCCCAGCATCGATAGGGGCTCTAAGCTCGGGACGCAAACCCTTGTTTGTACGGAGTATTGTTGAGGGTTCCCCGGATCGACACTTTTTTTCTTTTTTTCTTCAAGGGAAGACAGTAGCCCCTTAACAGACTCCCTCTATTTCTGACCACCAGCCGATCTGATCCGTATAGTAGATTGCTTTTCTACCTTCCACCCAAGACAATCCCATGCTAACCACCCGACTTTCTCTTCCAAAATTGCCACAAACCAAGGCTGGATGATCCGATACCACACTTGGCAGGTGACTAACTACGGAGCATCGTACTACACTACTACGTACTCCGATAGCTCGCCACCAGTTTCCAGTGACAGATAGAGTATCTAGTCTCAAATGTTGTGTAGCGCTAGTCCTTTACTAGTCCACTGCTCCAGTAGTACCACGGACTACGGACCGACCTGTTTAAAAGCTCCTGCGTCGGCCGTATTCAGTAGTCCATCCGGAGCTTCTCCTCATTGTCGACTTGTTTGCTTCTCCACTTGTACACTTGGTTCGGTGGTTCCCAGGTCAATTCCAAGAGCCCATCTTCTTCTTCCACTTTCCATTAAGACCTTCCATTATCAGTAGTCGACTGTGTCACAAGGGCAAAGGGCATTGCTATTGACCTTTGGTTCTTCCGGAAATCTCTCTTCTCTCTCTCCCTCTCCTCCTTGGGCCTTGACTCTCAAGCTATCCTTAGAATCGCCACAAATACAGCTTAGAAAGCTCAAAAACCTGCGATTGTCACGTCTTTTTCGTTCAATTGTCGACATACTATCATAGACAATATGATCTTCTCTCGTACTCTGATTGTCGCCGCCTCGATGGTCGGGCTGGTCAGCAGCCAAACTTGGACTGCCGTGAACATCAGTGCCATTGACCCCGCCACACGAAGTAGGTCTCAAATACATTAGATCTTACACTCGAGCTCTGTCTGACTACTTCACCCTGCCAGGCAAATGGTGTCTCGATCAGACCTCGTCCTGTCCCCTCCTCTGTCTCCAAATCAATGCCACTAGCGATCCAAAACAGAACGAGTGCGACTCTGTAAGTCAAATCCGACACCTCGGGCCACCTCCTAGAATGGTTTGCTGACAGGCTTCCTTTCTCTTCGGATAGGATTCTCTCTCTTACCAGTGTGTTTGCTCCAACGGCATCTCTCCAAACACCTCCGAATACTCTCAGACGATTCCCTACTACCTCTGCACCGAGGCCAACACCGAGTGTGTTGATCGATGCTCCAGCGCCGACTCGGCCTGTCAGTCTGCTTGTCGCTCTGATCACCCTTGTGGAGCTCAAAATCCCACGCGCCACAATGTCACTACGACCAGTGCCACATCGAACCCTACCAACAATCCTGCTACGACCACGACTCTGGCCGCATTCACAGGAGAAGCCACGAGCAAGAACGCGGCCGTCAGGATCTCGTCCGTTGACATCGGCCATGTGTATGGTCTGTGTGTTGTGGTGGGTGGCTTCATTGCTGGATTCGCAGTGCTGCTGTAAACTGCTGGCGTGAACCCCACTAGACTGTGCGCTGTACATTGATACAGCTTGGGATAGTTTTCTGGATTGTAATTTCTTCTTGTTGATGTTATTCTAAGACATTGTCAGCGTCATTTCATGTCTCTATTTCTGTTTTCCTTGCATACAGCATGGAGTCCCCGCTATCGTCATTCCAAGCTTATTCTTTTCAAGACTTTGCGGTGGCCTTATTTTGTTCTGTGACATGTTGATCAACTTTCACGACCTATGCCTATCATAATCATAATCACGGTGCTTCCTCTGGATTCGTTGCAAATACATCTTTATGACTAAGAGTATGACTGGTTGTAGTGGCATTAGCTATCAAGGACCGTGACGGATGCGCGAGATGAGCATTTACTCCAGCTGATGTGGAAGGTACCTCCGTCTTGCTTACGACACCCCGAACCGGGTCGAACGACATGCATTTCAGTCAAGAACGAACAGCTGACGGACAGGGTATGGACATCAGGGAGATCTAAGGTACCTAGATACGGGTTCTGATAGTCACTGTTGGGACTGGCTGTTCATCTCAGATTTGGCTGGTACACTCTTTCAAGACTCACCTCGTGGATGGGTCTTTCCCTGCTCCGTCTCGTCTTTCTATCCCGTTCCTTCCTCCGGGGCTTCTTTCCTGTTTCGTCTCACTGCCCGTCACGTTTATCTCTCAGCAGTAAGCCAGAAATCGCGCGGTTCAATTCGGTTCTGCCTGGAGGAGCATGTGTACCCGCAGTCAAGCCATCTTAGGGACCTGCTTCTTCCTCTCAAATCCAGATCGTCCTCCCTTTGAATTGTCATCGCAATACACCTAGTCGAGGTCATACTCACAGGATGCCTAGGGTATGCATGAGCCACCTCCTCTCGACTGCCATTCAAATAGGCCTAACGGTGAGGTGATTGATTGCTGATAGCAGCAGGGTCCATTCTGTCAACTCTGCTTGCAGAGAGGTCATCCCCTGAACAGGTGCCCACTGAGAGAAGGTCTGATGTTCCTCGTATGTGCACCGGCGATTGAAACCATTGTCATCATTCCGGAGACTGACGTTAGATACAGGGCCACGTGTCTATGATGCTGCAACTTCCGAACGAAACGGAGAGAATCTCGAGACCATCCGAAAATACAAACAATAGACCAGATTGGCGCCGTCGCAGAAGATGGTTGAACGCCAGCCGTCGCATGAGAGAGCGAATTAGTAGAAGAGGCAATACGGTAGATCCCTACGTGTAACTATATTACCGAAGTAGGACTGACATACACGCCAGTACAATCATGCCAGCCGTGGCAACTATGTAGCTGTCCAGTCTATGCCACCTCCGCCTCCCCCACCGAATACACGGTAAGCACCTCATTTCGCACGCCTACGGAGCTATAATAACAAAGGAAGAAGTGCAATCAGTATGGCGGGGAACGCATCCGTCACAACGGTTGGGTATGTATCATATTTAAACGGATGTGCCAGGCGCAATGTTGACAGTCATCCTAGCTCATCCTCATCTTCAATCCTTTATTCTAGCTAGTGAGGGAAGACCCCAGTAGTATCGTCATTAATGCTGACTTTCTCCCAGCTCTTCAACAAGCGACTCGACCATTGCAGACGAGAATCAGTGAGTATATACCAACTATTCCTGTTCAATCGCGTAAGCCTGAAGCTCACTGCGTAATAGCACAAACCCAAGGTCGGCTTGACGCTTGTTCCTATGCTTATTGCATAAACTAATATGGAAGTTCATTAACAGCAATCACTCCTTCAGGACTGAGCCAGCTGAAAGCTCTCAGGCGGCATCAGATTGTCTTCCCCTGAGACTCAGTACCGAAACTAGGTTGCCCGGAAACTCGAACAACGAGGGGCTAGTCAACGAAAACATCTTCGCCGAAATTGCCTCCATGGAGCACCCAGAGAGAGAATATGTCTCACACTGGGATTCGACAGCACAGGTTGATACCGTGATGACAGGAGCTGTAGGAGCTGTAGTCGGGGACCACGGTGACGGGATCTTTGACATTATCTGATGAACTGATGACTTGTTTTCCCAACTTGTGCTGGAATAGTCTGAATGCCGCGCAAGAAACATCAAATTATTGTTTTGTCGGGGAGAAGAACGGAGGCGGTGAATTCGGCGGTCAATCCTCGATGACGGTGCCTTGGGGCTTAGAATGCCAAATAATGCCGGTGCTGATGACTTCGATACTCCATCCTTAGTGCCTCTAGAGTTGCAATCTCATATCTATTACGCGTTGAGAGCCATCGTCTATAGAACGGATTCGTGGGTTCAAAAGTACTTGTCAGAAAATAGTCCTACTGATCACTTCTGTTACTTCACTACTGTCACTAGCCCTCCGCCCATTGTCCAGTACACCGTTCTCCGCATCGCCCTATCAAGGTCACTGGGATCAGCTTTGGGAATTCTACATTGTGCTCCTTCTCTGCATATCGGAACCCCACTTGAAGATCCCTCGCTATCTTATTGTTTCCAAATTAAATCTGATCCAACAGACCTACCGTGCCGTCGACGCAGGCGTTGCACGTGCACCACGACCACGCCATGGACTCAACGCTCCCAGATGCTTTTGATGCATCTCAACCTGGTTTATACGCGGGGCAGGCTTCTAGCGCAGGGATGGTTGATCCAGAAGGTACAAATGGGAACATGATGGCATCAGCGCCTTTTGTAAAGGTTGATGGTGGGTTGTCCCCGGCTATACGAGCGGTGAGCTTAACTGTCAATGAGGGGAAGTAGCTAATGTGCATTGAAGATCCACCTAAATTCGAACTCGAGTCTTACATTGCGAACTACACCGGTTAGTAGGAAAATATGGCATGCGCACAAAGCTCCGACGGCTGAAACTGATTGATACTCGCGCAACAGGACGGACCAGATTCAATCGCTTGTACCTCATAGGCACTTGTTCCACGTACCTCTCTACGGAAGCGCTCAAGGCTGCGGTTGCTGAAGCGAAGGCGGGAAAAGATGTCGTCAGGTACCAGCAGGCTGTACGAGCGTTGGCCGAAGTGTCTCCGAATGAATCTGAAGCCATCGAGGACACGAAATGGGTGGACCATATGCAGAGAGTTGTGAAGTCTGAGACCGATCGGTTAGAGCACGAGCTGAGGGGCTATAAGAACAATTTGATCAAGGAGAGCATACGGGTAAGTGGAGTTTTGCTGCAATCAGTGGGGATGCTTACTTTATGTTCACAGATGGGCAACGAAGATCTCGGACTACACTACCATCAGATCGGCAACCTGGTGGCCGCATCCAAGGCCTACTCGCGCATGAGGGACTACTGCACAACACCCAGCCACATCGCGTCTATGTTGTTCAAGATTATCAATGTGGCAATCGAGCGGGGAGACTGGTTGAGCGTACAATCCAACGTGCACCGGCTGCGCAACCTCCAGTCCAAACCGGAAGAGCAAGCGAAGAATCAACCTAAGATGTCAGCCGCTCTGGGCTTATCCCAGCTGCACTCCGGATCGTACTTGGATGCTGCGAACAGTTTCTTGACCACTGATCCATCGCTTGGGGATTCTTACAATGAAGTCGTCACATCGAACGACGTGGCGGTTTATGGTGGGCTCTGTGCTCTTGCGTCGATGGATCGTAACGAACTCCAGCGCCGCGTACTTGACAACAACTCTTTCCGCAATTTCCTCGAACTCGAACCGCATATTCGCCGGGCGATCTCCTTTTTCTGCAATTCAAAGTTCCGACCTTGTTTGGAGATTCTTGAGTCCTACAAAGCCGATTATCTACTTGACATCCACCTTCAGCGTCATGTCAGCACCCTTTTCACCCGCATCCGCACCAAGGCTATCCAGCAATACCTCATTCCTTTTAGCCGCGTGACGCTCGATTCCATGCTGAAGATCTTTGCTCCAGGGGTCGCTGGCGGCCAAGCGCATCCGACCGACTTCAACTCCCCATTCGTGCAAGAGTTGATCAGTCTGATCCAGGACGGGACGCTGGATGCTCGGATTGACCTGGAGAAGGGGGTGCTCGTATCTAAACAGACCGATCTACGCACAGACGTGCAGCGAGCAGCACTGGAGAGCCTTGTCAACTTCAGAAAAGAGGCTCATCTCCGGCTGTTGCGGACTAACATCCTTCGTGCCGGGCTAGAGGTGCGGGCACCGGGGGAAGAGAGAAAGCTCAGACCTGAGGACCGAGGCGTTGGAAGGGGGTTGGCTGGGCTAGGGGCAAGTACTCTCGGTGATGACCTTCTACGAGACAATCATACCAGTCCGGAGTCAGAAGACCGTATTTTATGGTTATGAATAACATTTCACATCCTTTTCTGCATATGACTTAACCCCCTTTGATTAGGATTATGACAGAATAATTAATTGACCATAGCTTAAGGGCCCAACTATTCAAATACATTAGAGAGGTCTCGGCTTGTCAGTGGTCAAGATCAAGTGTGAGGGTAGCTGATGAAGTTATAACGTCATAGCCCCGTTGCATCATTGACAAAGACCTCAGACCACCAAGGTGCAATGCACTGCCAATATAAATGATCCCAAGCTTACAGTAACCCAAGGTATCTGATCAATTCTCACCTTCAAACAATCCGTCATTGCATTTGTTGTGATCATGGCGCTCGTCGACCAAGCCGCTACATTCCTACACCAATACGTCTACTCATGGCTGCACACCACCCCCAGTAAAACCCCCGACGCATTGAAACTGGGCGTCATCTCAACCGCCCAAATCAACCCTGCAGCCAGTAAGTTCGCCCTTTTCTTGACTTTATGCCGAAATATTAACCGAAATTCTAGTCATCCACCCCGCCGAATCCCACCCATCAGTCATCCTCCACGGCATCGCCTCGCGCGATCTCTCAACAGCCCAAAAGCACCAGAGAAAGTACCATTTCAGCAAAGCCTACGGCTCGTATCAGGATCTCCTGGACGATCCGGACATCGACATCGTGTACATATCCACGCCGAACGGGCTGCACTACGAGTGGGCGGCGAAGGCGCTCAAGGCCGGGAAGCATGTGCTCTGCGAGAAACCGTTTACGGCGAATGCGGACGAGGCGAAGAAGTTGGTGGCGCTGGCGCGGGAGAAGGCGCTGATTGTTGAGGAGGCTGTAAGTTTCTCTCTCGGTCGGTTCCTTTGGATTGGGGCAGGGCAGGGTTGGTTGACAGGATGTAGTTCCATTGGCAGTTCCATCCGGCTGCGCATGCATGGCGCCAGATCCTGGATTCGAGGGAATACGGGAAGATAATCTGTACAAAGGCCGCTATGACGGCCAGTCCTGGTGTCCCCGGGGGTGATATCCGGTGGAAGTTTGACCTGGCGGGTGAGTTTTGATATCTACCCTCTTTTGTCGTGCAAGCAAGTAGTTGACAAGGGTATAGGCGGCTCGGCAATGGACATGACCTATGCGCTGTCATTTACCCGCTATGCGCTGCATGCGCAGCTGCCGCAGGAGATCATCTCCGTCAGCGTCCGGCCGTCCAAGGATGACCCGCGCGTGGACGCGGCCATGTACGCGCACATCGACTTCCAAGGCCCGGACGGCAACCCCGTGCACAGCCGCGTATACACGGACATGGCGCGCGAGAAGGTCGCGGGCGTGATTCCGCGGGTCTGGGAGTTACCGTCCATCGAGGTCGAGACGGAGAAGGCGATCATCTACTACTATAACGCTATGATGCCGCATCTGTACCACTACATCTCCATCCAGGACAAGACGACGGGCAAGGTGAGCTATAAGAAGCAGTATTCTGGCGGTCCCTTGTGGGGCAATGTGGTGACGAGCACGGGGAGAAGGGCGGGAATCCGCACTGGAGTACGTATCGATGGCAGCTGGAGGCGTTTGTGGATGCGGTTAAGGGGAAGACGCCGGCGTATTGGGTCAGCGGGGAGGAGAGTATCTGGCAGATGGAGTCGATTGATTCCCTGTACAAGGCGGCCAATTTGCCCGTGCGGCCGTCCCAAGGGACCAAGCTGGGATAGGCGGTTTTCTACCAGCATAATTTATTATTGTGTATAATTATTTGATAGTATTGTACAGCAGACGACACGTTTCCAAGCAAATAATATGACAGAGCCATTAAGCCAGGGCCAGAGCCATAGCCATAGCAGCACCCCCAATAGCCCAGTTGGCATTTCCAGTAATCTGAGGCATGGCAGCGTTTCCGCTGGAGCTGTGGGACGGCGACGCCGAGGCCGAAGAGCCAGTGGCCTGGGCGCCGCTCGTCGCAGACGGGCCCGACGAGGCCAGGGTAGTCTTTCCAGTCGCCGAAGGCGTGCCGCCTGTGACGGATGCACCAGGGGTGGTGGCATGGGCACCGGCGGTGGCAGTGCCAGTCACCACAACGGGCAGAAAGAAAGAGCCGATGTCTGTGGTCATGTCGGTGTCAGTCACTTGAGTTGTGGTACTGTCCATCTGCGAAATTAGGCAGGAGATGGAGGTGGTGCCACCGAGATTGCAGCCGTATGAGACGTAGCTGTTGAGGATGTCAGCGGCACGCTCAATGCTCTTCTCACCACAAGGGCGACATACTAGTCGTCGAAAGAATATATTTGCTTCACCGTCGAGGCGCCCTGGATAATTGTGTACCCGCTTGAGGGCATACCGCAGTCGTCACCGGCAGAGGCGCAGTTGACGCGGTAGGTGGTTGCAGAGCCGCTCTGGGTTCTCACGTCAGATAGATGATCTTGCAGAACATTGAGCAATGATGATTTCCGACAAACGTACACTGCCGAGGACTTCCGCCACGAAACTCGCGGGATCAGCATAGGGCATAAAGAGCGACACGGTGCTCTCAGCAGCGACTGTGGCCGCGGTGGCTGTCAGGAGCGTAAGAGAGCGGATGGCGTTGGAACGCATTTTGTAAAATCTCAGTGAAAGTGACTATATTGAAACAAGTCTGGATTTGAATAGATGGAGGGCGTCGAAAAGAGAACAATAAAAAAGGTAGTGTCAGAAGTATAATGATTATGGGATCTTTCGTCGTACGGGCGTAAACGAGTGACTGGCAGCAAAACAGACAATTCAATGAAAGTTCGAATGATGAGGACAAAAGATGGCGAAGGAAAGGGAGTCAAGAATATTCGCCATATTCGCCTCTGGGGCATCATGCCCCTGATAAATGAGTCTCATCTTACGAGTCAGCCATTAGTGGATGGGAGGCTGCTAAGGCTGAAAGCCTAGTCGTTTCGTTGGCTCGCTGTATGATCCTACACAAATGAAACAGTTTCTCATGCTGACAAGCTTTTAGCCGGAGTCTGGTCCAGGCCCAGACTTTCAGAGACTGGGTCGAGGTGCGCCTGACTATCCGTAAATAGACATGTCGAGGTCCTTGTTCAGCCGCACAATTGCAAGATTGGTGGTTATTTCACAAACACTGGCAGTGGAAAGCCTCGGGATTGCCTGATCGGTCGGTGCCTTTGAAGAATATGAGGTGGAGTCCCACAGTCAGGGCTGCAAATGCTGATTGGCTGATTGCGAACTAACTCCATTGGCGGAAAACATCAACTCGGCGGCTAGACTTTTCCAGGACTAGCGCAAGTATTATGAATGCCGATGGGTAGTTAATTTTCCTTTTTGGGTAAAGCGTCTATGGGTGAAGAATACATCTGAGGTACCTCCAAGGAAAGATTCCTCTAATATCTGCGCAACGATGAGAGCGTAGCTCTTGGTAGTTGTCTTTATGTTATGCAAAGTCCATCGTGTGAGCCAAGTAATAAGCATGCATTATTGAGAAATACGGTCATCAAATCGTTAACAATTCTTCGTCCTGCAATTCCCCTTAAGATAAACGCACTGCCCACCCATCAGGTAGTGTTGGCAATTGATCTGCCGCAGTTGACAACAGCTAAGCCTCAGCACGGTTAACAGACTTTTTCGCATAGCTCATTGCACCAGTTGCAATCCCTGCGAGAAGCAGTACAGCATTGAAGCCGGCCATTATATAGAACGGACTTCCTGGAGACAAATCATCGAACAGTAGACCTCCAAGCTTGGTCAGAAACAATATTCCTGCCCCTCCATACAGGGAATAAACACCAGCAATTGATCCCTTCAGGTGGGAGAGCTGGTGACCTCTGTGACGCGGAGATCCTTGTAGCAAGGGTTGATGCTCGTCGACGTCTTGGTTTTCCTGGTTCGTCGAAGTACTCACGGGACCCTCTTGCGTGTGAAAAATCTCTGAACCGTCAGAATCAAGACTGATACTGAGGATACCATTGCTCAGCACCGCCAGGCTGCAGACAATGGCCCCGATCTGGCTGATACCGATCAAGCCCATTAGAACAAAGACACCCGCACTGCCGTCCGATCCGCTGAATTGAGGACTAGGCAACAGCGCAAACACAGTATAGCCAAGAATACCAGTCAAAGAGGCGAACAGAAGCGGTGCATGGTACCGGCGCGATCTTTCCGACAGATACCCAAACGCCGGTGCCGCGATCAGAGCAACTAGCTGAGAGACGCCGGTCAGGATGGAAGCCAAGATGTAGGCTTTGCGGCACGTTTGTTTGACATCTCTCGGCGTCGGTTCTGGCACCTCGCCCTGCTCATGACCGCACAGGCCCGATCGTCGATAGTAGTGGTTGACAAAAAGGGGAATAAACAATGAAATGCTGACTGATGAGGCGCGTGCAACAAAACCTCCCAGGTAACCGAGGAATATATCCCGGTTTCGTACGCCTAAGTAAAGCGCTGTGCCAAGTTGATTGAGGTACGGTAATTGTATCACTCCTTTGCTCAAGGCCAGCCGGTCGGCCTCGGACGCAGATGTCTTTGGGGAGGCCCACAATAAGTGCCATCCCTTTCCTTCTTCGCTTGCAAGACCCCTAAGGCCCATCAGGCAGCAGAAACTGACCAAAAGCGCCACCGAAGCAACCAAGTAGTAACTGTTCTGGATGGCTTCCGAGGGAGAGTAACCCCAGCTCTGAAAACGAGCTGGTAGAGGAAGGAAAATGGCTAGAGATATGAGGGCACCGCCGCCAGCGCACATGCCCACAAACCCGGCCAGCCGAGAGGATGGAGACTTCGCCTCAGCCCGGGATTCTTGCCTGAGACGCGGTTGCTCGCTTGAAGTCCCTCCGGCCACGGCAGGTAAGACAGCTGTCACCATGGTCGAGACTGCAGAGCCTCCCAGGCTGAAGAATAACCTTCCTAGTAGCAGCTGAGGGTAGACATTTCTTGCTTGCACGAACACGACCAGCGAAACGGCTATGATGCCGTAGCCGATGACGCAAACCTTTGTTGAGAGCATGTCAGTGATATGGAACTATACTGGTAGATAAGATTGACGGAACGTACATTGCGGACGCCTATACGATCAGAGAGCACTCCCCATAAAGGGCACGCGGCCAGCGCGAGCAGTTCATCAGCAAATCCCAAGGTGCCAACAGCGTCTCCCTCACCATCGTGTAGTCCAATCAATTCAGTGACCACGAATGAGACAGATGAATTGACGAAGACCAAAAATGCAATGGAGAATGGACAGACGGCAAGCAGATATGTGAATGTCTGAGTGCGGGTAGCTGTAAATAGAGCTGGATGTGACGCCATCATATCACCCAAATCATAGTCCGGTCGATGTGCTTGGTGAGTCTGCGGAGACCTTTCTGCTCCTTTTTGTATGGGACTCTGCTAGAGCGATTCCGCATCAAGATCCAAGCGAGATGAGGAGAATGATTCGATGTGGATTTAGTTGAAGAGGGTGATTACGGCTGATGCATAGCCATCACCTGTCTGACATCCAGGTCACATGATCTAAATATACATTCACGACTCGCATATCGTATTCGAGCTGAGAATCCAGGAACTTAATGCAGATCAATTATAGACGAGAGGAGAACGTACTACGGAATCTTCGGGGTGACACAGCAGTTGTATCAGCTTCTGCCTGTTTGTTTATATTCCGCAGTAGTTCAGTGAAGGGCTGCATTGCAATCGATAGCCATACAAAGCAATTAGAATCCACTAAAAGCCAGCATCCAACTCTAATTCGCCCTCCAACCTTCTGACAGTCTCTCACTCACAAAAACAAAGGATATACTCGGGAAAATCGAGTCTTGACTCTTGGGTTTTGGCTGATAAGCTGATGATCGCTGACGTAAGGCAAGGAACTCAGGCGGTGGGCCGAATGGTTCCCCACGAGTTGTTGTCTTAGTCTACAGGTATAGCTGTCCAAAACCTCCGTACACGCGATCCATCTCCGGCCACATTTCTAATCTCTCACTCGCTACGGACGCTGTGCATCAACAGACTATCTAATGCCTTATTGACCTTGACTTTGACTGCGTCCGCTTTTGTGTTTATATCAATGACATAGGACTCCTAACTCGCCTCATTTAGTTTCTGGCCATGAGACTAGCCGCTTATGCTGGGGTAAGTTGCTCACACAAGGCGGAGGAAGCTTGGACTCGACAACAGGCTGACCAACATTCTCTATAGGCCTCTGCGGCTCTGGCTACGGCCGTTGTCCTGAAAGCGCTTCACCAGAGGGTTAATTTCTACGCCGCTTGCGTATACCTTTCTCAGAGCAGCGCGAATCTCATGGTGAGTCTCCCGGTGGTCGTTCTAGAACGTGGCCGGCGAAATAACGCAGAATACTGACTTACCACAGATACTTACAAACTTGTGTCTTCTCGTCGTCGGGTTCCTCTTGTTCTGGCTTCAACGTCTCCTGTACGGACCCTTGCGGCCGATTGAGACCGAACAGCTTTACGAAAAGGCATGGTTTGCGGTCACAGAAACATGCCTGGCAATGACAATATTCCGGGGGAACTTGGCGGGTGGTTCTTGGTCATGTTTGTATGTCTACTTGTTGGAAAGGTCTGGGGGTGGATTGGTGAAGGCCGCGTCGAGTTCCTGGAGCAGCAACCCCCGGCCAATCCGCACTTGTTTCACACCCGGCTGGCGATTTCCCTCGTACTGGCAGTTCTGTTTGATTCACTCATGCTGAAATACTGCATAACGACCGTTCTTGAACAAGCGCGACCGGATATGATGGTTATGTTCGGGTTTGAGTTTGCCGTCCTTACCATCCTTTCGAGCTCGACCGCCGCCAGGTACACCATCTCACTAGTTGAGCTATACATAACACGGCAGCAGATAAAGGCCAAGGTTGAAGAGCGCCGCCGGGAAATTCGTGCCGCCAGAGAAGAAGCTCTACGCCAAAACGCCCAGACCGGAGAGACGCCTCCAGCTGCCGATCTTCCGGACGAGAATGATATCGACGAGATGGAACTTGATGTTCCAGGCTGGGAGGAGAAGGGTCGTTGGATCTTCTACCTCGATTTACTCACCGATTTCTTCAAGTTGACGGTCTACTTGAGTTTCTTCGCCATCCTTTTCATGTTTTACGGCCTGCCTATCCATATCCTTCGCGACGTGGTCGTCACTATCCGTTCTTTCGGCCGACGGATAATGGATTTCGTCCGCTACCGCAATGCGACCCGGGACATGAATGAGCGCTACCCGGATGCCACCCCTGAGGAGGTAGCAAGAGAAGATGTATGTATCATTTGTCGTGAAGAGATGGCTCATTGGCAGGAGCCTGCGGGCGCTGGTGAGGGCGGGGCAGCACCTGCTCAGCCAAGGCCTCGGATTCCCGAAAGGTTACGTCCAAAGAAACTCCCGTGCGGTCACATCTTACACTTTTCTTGCCTTCGGAGTTGGTTAGAAAGACAGCAGAATTGTCCCACCTGCCGACGCCCGGTCATGGCGCCTCCGCGTGACCGCGATCACCCTCCCGGAAATATCAACCTTGGTCAAGGCAACGGTGCCGCCGGTCCGCAACCAAATGTGCCGGCTGGCAATCAGCCTTTTGGCCAGAACGGACCGGCTGATAACCTACCGAGAGCCCGCATATTCCAATTTGGACCATTCCGGATTGGTTTTGGAGCTGGTCGGGGCGATCTCTTCCGCAATTTTCACCAACAAATTCATCAGGGCAATGTCCCGGCGCAACCGGCGAATATCGCAATCCCGCCCGGTGCAAGGCAGATTGGTTTCGGGCTCGGTTTCGGACGACCAATCCCAGCGCCAGTGCCCCAAGCTCTCCCGACAAACACGCCGTCGAACTTTGTGCAGATGCAGAATCAGCTTCACCAGATGGAGCTGCAGATAATGCAGGAAATCAACAACCTCCGTGTTACTGCCGAACAGTTGCATCATGTGCGACTGCTTCAGGCGGAGCTACAAAGACTTCGCAATCCGCCTGCAGCTTCCAGCGACCCGAACACCACCATATCCCCAGCATCTACTTTCCAACCTTCTTCACCTTTGTCGGCTACATTACGTCGGCAATTCAGCTCGAATCCTCAAGCCTCGGCCATTCCATCCGGCGATTCTCGACTCCCAGAGGGCCTTAGCCTCCCGGAAGGCTGGTCTCTCATTCCCCTTCAATCGGCCGGACAGGGTCCAAGCGGTATCTCGAGTCCAATTCCTACAGCTGCTCCAGAACCTACCCCCACGGTGCAAGTGCGTGAGGATCCCCCTGTCACTGAAAACTCGGCGCCGGCAGCGAGTATGAATGGGGAAAGCTCGGGTACAGTTGATGCAGCCAGATCCACTACCTCCTCGCTGCCTGACTGGGGTTCGGAAACTCCGACGACAGCAACGCATTCGTATATCGAATCATCGTCTCGGAATTCGGGCAAAGAGGTCTTTGGGGAGCCGTCAGAAAAGAAGGAATCGTCTGCATGGGATAATGAAGCCACAAATGCGGACGAATCGCCAGAATCTTCCTCCTCGAAGGGCAAGGCCCGCGTGGTGACAGTTGAGGATGCTGCGGACGAGGAGGCTTGAAAACCTGACTGCCTATCCCACTAACTGTCTTGATATCTCTTCATGGTGCATATTCCTCTGTAATGTTGTTTTATTGGCGTTCTTGAGCGATTCTGAATCATACCCGGGTTTGTTGTGAGTATATACCATCATATCGCAGCGCTTCTCATGTGCTAAGTACTTGATACTTCCCTCTCCACTACGTTGTCTGATGATCTTAAATTCTATTTCTAAGCCTTACCATGGAACGCTACAGAACCTGAATGTCTCGTCCTGTCTTTGTACATAACCTACCTTCTACGTGCTGAAGACATCGGTCTGCTCGTCCCAAGTGTTGCACTCTTGTATACTGAAGTGTGGCACCTCTGGACATGGAAGTTCTATCCGCTAAGTGAGAGATTATCTCAAAAGCATTGCAATGCTGGGAATAACACCAATGATCGATTCAGGCTCATCGATCTTGAGTTCAACCCTGCTGAGGCACAATAAAAGCGTATGGAGTATCTAGATTAGATATTCTGGGGATACCCTAGGAATGGCGTCCACCATTCCATTCCTGCAGATCAGGGGCAAGATCGTTCTGCTGCTCCAATAAGACTCATCAAGCTAAATTAACCTCGCCGACATAACCCGCCATTCAGGGCCTAGCCCGTGTTTCACCTTTGGCCACTTTGGACCGTGAAAGGAACTTGGAGACCGGATGCTACGAGTAATCTCTTTCATAGAGAGTATCTATGGTCTGTCCTAGCACTGATTCTGTGATATCTAGCTGGCGAGAACAATAAACTTCACCCATTGCAGTTTGGGATTGGGACATTATCTCTCCCTCCGGAGTAATCGGCCTCCTCGACCCTGCGTCGTCACCACTGATTACGCAGGCTCCACCTCCACCCGGGTTGGGGAATAATGCGCCAATCTTTTGCATATCGGTCTGTGTGAACACCTATCAAGACTAAATTTCTCGATTCCTATTCAGCTCTGTATTTTTCTTTTGAGTTCAAAGTCAATTTCTTTCAGTCGGAATTTGCCCCGGTCGCTGCTTTGAGGCGTTCTGTATGCCAGCTTGCGGCTACTCGCTACAGGCTACTGGAGTCTTATCTACGTATTTGCGCCGCTGAGGTCGCAGGCCTCTGCTTTTCGCTTCTGGAGCCGGATTATTCTCCTCATAGCTGGTTCTTGGAGCCTTGCGAGTGAGCCCATGATCTGCTCACTATCTTGAACTGGCCGGTGAGTCGTGAATTTCCCTCATGGCGCCCCTTATGCATCTTCAGGGGCATCTACACGGGTTCTCTTGAGCTTTTGCTGTGCCCGACCTTCACCGCGAGTATATTCCAGAAACTGAGGCTAATGAGTGTACTTGAGATGACTGCGACAGCCTACTCTATTCTCCTTTTCTTCACTCTGTATAGTCTTCCATATCCTCTTCGATGATTTCCTCACGGCGAGCGGTCCCCCTCCTTGGTCTTGCCTTTTTCGTCATCTTCCTCTTCGCAGTCACTAGTCTCTCGAGACAATGGCGGCGGACGCCAGAGGCCGTGGGGTTGGGAAAATTGGTCGCTTCACCTAGCCCCATACCATCCGGACTTTTGAACATAAGCTTGGTGGACAGCCGCCCGTCCCGGACACCATACGCTCCCCGGCCGCAATATATGCCTGGTGTCCCCAAGCCCGACGGAGCCGAGTACACGAAGATGCTCGTCGTCCCGAAGACGCAGAATGAAGATACGAATTGGATCGCGGCCGAGCTCCCCGATTGGCAGTCGGCAATCTATGTTGTCGACGACCCGTCGTCTCCCCTACATCCGCCGAAGAATAAGGGACATGAAGTGATGGTCTATCTGAGCTTTATCATCGATCATTACGACAAACTGCCGGATATTGTGGCGTTCATGCATTCACATCAGTTCGCCTGGCACAACGAGGAGATATTTGGTGGCGATGCGGCCGAGATGCTGCGTCGCCTGAATGTTGCGCGAGTGGTCCGGGAGGGATACATGAATCTGCGGTGTATATGGGAGCCCGGCTGCCCTGACTGGATGCATCCCAGTAACCCAGAGGACAACGAACAGAAGCAAGAGGAGACGATGCTGGCGCGGTCCTGGGGGGAGATCTTCCCGGACGACCCTGTTCCACAGGTTCTAGCGCAGCCCTGCTGCGCTCAGTTTGCCGTCTCTCGGGAGCGAATCCTGGCTATCCCCAAAGCGCGTTTTGTCTTCTACCGAGATTGGATACTCCGGACAGAACTGAGCGACTACATATCAGGCCGTATCTGGGAGTATCTCTGGCATGTGATATTTACTGGTGAACACATCGTCTGCCCCGAGGTCCATATCTGCTTCTGTGACGGGTACGGGCTCTGCTTCGGCGGTAAAGAGGAGTACGAGGCGTACCGAAGACTGGGCCATGAGAAAGAGGAATTGGAAGATGAGCTCAAGCGATGGAAATCCCGAGCCCAGACTGTCGAAATCGCTCGAATGCGTGGTACCCTGGGAGAAACGAGTCACCTCAACATCCCGGAGCCCGGGAAGGATCAATCTCTTCGGGAAAAAATCTATGAGAAAGAACAGAAGATCAACGAGGTTCTCTACAATGCCGCCGAGCGTGGTATGGACCCCAAAGCTCGGGCCTTGGAAGCAGGTAGAAAATGGACTGAGGGCGACGGTTATTAAAAGTCAGATATCTTCATTTGTTTTACAATAGACTCCAGAACCTCCTCGCATTTCTGCAGGCAGAAGAGAGGTTGTTGCAGGGGATATGCTCGAACATTTGCACTATTTACATTCAGTGTCGCATATGATTGTCGATCTGGGTCGGCTCTGCAGTTGTCAAATAGAAAGTGTACTTTATCTAAGATGGTCAGTTTTTGCAAAATGCCGTTTGCTGTTTGCCTTGTGGTCTTCTTGTCGATTCTTTATCTCACCTCATGATTGAATGGCATGGTCATGTGACCATATCGGATTATCTTGTCCTCCGAAACAGCCTCTTGTTCTCGTGCAGAGTTTGCATTGTCTGTCCTCTCTTCAAACCGCGCAAACAGCGTCATCTAGCTACTATCTGATTGATTCAATCAACTTATCGCGATTCGCGCGAAAAACATATAGTGGGAAGCTTCAACTCCCTGATCTCTGTCCACCTATTGATCCTGTCGCTTCCCAAGCTTCCTTGTCGCCTCGTCAGCGGGCGGCGACTCTGGCTGAAGCGAGCTCACACATCGCAAGGGGACGAGAGCTTTACAATTCGCGCGAAACGGTCATAGGTTGCCTAGCTATGGCCAGATCTTTTTGAAGGAGATTTTTCCTATACGAATCTATTTTCATTCGCGACCGCTTTGTCTTCCCGACGTACTCGAAAAGGATACTCATTCCCTCGGTCCACGAAGACTGCCGTTCAGATTGCGAAACAGATTATCAATCGCAGCATTCCGTTTACGGTCCTCCGCGCTTGACACTGTCATAACCCCCGCGCCAACCAGTCGCCGCATTTCGAGACACTTTCACATCAGCTCCTTCCTCATCGAGCAGGACGATACCTGGCCTTGCGACCGACCTCGTACTCAAAATCGTCATGACGTCCACATCGACGCCCAACCACCAGCATCCTCCCGCGACTTCGGCCCCGGAGTTCTCTAATCAGACACCTCATACCTCTCACGTCGATTCGCATGCGCATCTAGCGACAAGCGGATATGCCCCAAATGACAATCAGTTAGCTGGTTTGGTGGAAGCCGCGACAGCAGCAGCTGGTCAGGACGTTTCGGAATGGGCCGCAGCGGCGGCGGTGGCTGCAGCGGCCGGAGCAGCCGGTCATCAACATCACTTGGATAACTATGGTCCGGAAATACACATTGAAGACGACGGCTTCGGAGATGGAAGTTTTGGGGCGGGAATGAGTGCAGGTAGACAGCTACGCGGATCAGGGTCGGCTTCGGTCAACGACCAGGGCCAGTCTTCAGGATTGTCAAGATCTGTCTCCAAGAAACGGAAAAGAGGAGAGGACGCACTTGATCCAGCGTTGACAGCCGCCGGTGGAGTTGGCCTTCCTGGTGGTCCGCAGCAATCGCAGCAACAGCAGCAACACCATCTTCACCCGCCTTCTCATCATTATGATGGAGACTTAGATATTAGAGCCGTCGCGCCCCAATCTCTGTCTGACGCTCGCGCCGCTGGCGTTCATTCCGCCGCTGCTCTATTTCGCCAACCTTCCAGTAACAAGAAGCACACCCGTCCGCCAATGTCGAAGCTCTTCGCCTCTCTGGAGTTGTCGCCGGAAAACTTCTTGCATTTACAAGCAGCCGCGAAAGCATATATGCTCGATCCTAAATATCCTGAGAGACGGGAATGCGTTGGCCAGCGGGGCAAAGGTGATACAGAAATGGTCAAATTAAGACTGTGGAACTGTGTGCGCCACTTCTTGGAGGCCGAAGGGAACGGAGAACGGTTCTTCGGCGAGAATGTCGTCAACGAAGGCATGGGTCCGAGGTCTTACATCTGGCCACGCGACCAGCAGAAAATCATTTCTTTGGTGATTCCGCTACTCCGGAGGATGGTTACCAATGAACGCCAGCGGCAATATGCTGTTGAAACGCGGAAAGGAGGCGGCACTGATGAGCGAAGGAGACGGAAGACGAATGAAAGCTTTCAGACCTTTACTACCAGCGCAAGTCCGCCGAGGTTTTCCTCTGACGGGCAGCTTCAGATGCACCCTCAACATCATATGCCAGAAGAGTATTCTTCATCTCAGGTCCCCATGCCACCACCTCAACCCCAAATGGACTCGACATCACAAAACATGGAGCTCGGCCTGACAGATCTTCTACTCGACGGATATACGCATGACTGGAATGCAATTCACAAGACATATGATTTGTATAATCACGACTTTGAACTCGATAATCTATGGTATCTTTCGGGTCTCCAGCAGCCGGACTGGCGAGGTTTGGTTGCCGCTGTCGATAGTCACTACCAGGTCGTTCATGAGGGCGGCTACGATTGCACTGCGCCTTGTGAGGATGAGAACATACATCGCATCGTAAATGCGGATGTCACGTCGGATCTGCGCTGGCGAATCGGCGGCAACCACAACACAACTGCCAGAAATGAATTGTATGTATACCTACTCCTCATTATCATCTCGCGACAGGTACGGCGACTGACCCCCTTACAGTGCAAGCAGCATCACCCGTGATGTTTCGCGCATTATTCGCGACAACTTGGCCGCTAAGCAAGGCGTTCACACTTCTACTCATGACCACGATCCGATGCCGCAGCCTCAACTCTTTCCGCCACCGCAGTTTCCCTCCATGTCAGGAAACGCAAATACCAATGCACATAGTTCCATGTCTGCACCTCCGAACTCCGTCTATCTTCGTATAAATATCATGCAGCAAGGAAAACGTATCCTGCCTCGCCTTGATGTACCCGCTGTGCAGTGTCCCGATTTGGAGACGCTAAAGCAGCTCATCTCTCGTCGATTCGCAGGTCAATTGCCGGGCCTACCTTCCGATTCTGCCATGGATGCATCAGGGGGCTCATGGGGCTCTTCGCTCGGTTGGAAGTTCAAGGCTTGGCTTCCCGATGGGTTGGCCGCAGTACAGAACGACGGCGACTGGACAATGGCCCTTCTTTCGGCTGGTAACGTGGACTGGATGGATGGCGATTTGAAAGTTCTTCTGGACCTAGAGAGCACATGAGAGGATACACATCGACGATTTCCTTTACATTGCCATCTATTTCCTTTCATACGTTCGACCCGGCTGCAGTGATTCCCTCCTCATTGTCATTCAGGGACTGACGTGGTGTGTCTGTTTGAGAATCTGGTACGTTGTCTTGATGCTCTGGGGGTTATTTGCATGGCTTTCTGGTGGCTTTCATACCCTTGCGTTTTCAAGCATGACTCATGACTTTGGCTTGCCGTTCCATTGCGGATAATACTTTTCCTTTACCCATGATACCTTGTTCATGTACAAGTACTTTTACCCTTCGATATCGAAATGATACCTCGTTCTTACTTGATTATCATCGTCACACTCCTAGTTGAGTGCATTCCATGAAATAGATTCCAATAGTGCTCTGGTTCCTAGGCTATTTGCCATAACCGTTCCTCAGATTGCTCCTAGTCGGGCTAGACCTAAGCTACCGTTGCAGAGCAAAACAACATAGGTAAGGACCATGCCGAAGTCTTCCATTGGATGCACCCGGCCGAGACCTTTAGACTCGTCGATCGCCCCGGCATCTGTTTAACTGTAACCATAGGGTGGCACTGGCCTCCCGACTGTGCATTTTTACGTGGTTCGCGAATTTATTGTTCGATTATTACCCTGCTCTACGGATTTTCATCCTCCAATGCTTGATTAGCTGATAGGTTTTGCTAGCTAGCGTTACTAACAGAAATCGCTTCTATGGTCTAGTGGTTATGACTCCGGATTTTGAGCATTCGCTGAGTCTTCCGGCAACCCCGGTTCGAATCCGGGTAGGAGCTTTCTTTTTTCGCTTTTTTTAATACGTGTCATCGCAATTATTGAGGACAGTGTGGATTTCGCTTTTTCTGCTCCTTGGTTTTCGAGTTTCCAACCTGCATCTATGTGCTAGAATGCTGGTGGTGGGTATTTTTGTCGTGGTGATGCCCGTGAGGGTTATATATATCTTGATATGCGAGTGGTCGAGCTCGTCTGTAGCTTGTTCGATTGTGCGAACGCGGAGAGTAGGACTACGTACCATGTTCAGCTGGAGAATTTGTTCGAAATGACATATTCTACGTCCAGTGCATTGCGGCGAAGTTGGTTGTAATGATAGGACTACAGCCTTCATCCTGTTAAGTGAGGACAGACAATTGTATTCAAGTGATTTTTGGATATTTCTATTGCTCGAATGCTCAGATCATGGTAGGCAATGTGTACGAGGTAACTAAAACAAGACGTTTTTGCACAATATACCTGTCTACTTTATGTGCCTACCAGACCAGTATCGCGTCCATTACCGAGCCCACGAGCCTACCGGCGCTCCCAATCAACATGAGCTCGAATCCGGATCCATGACAGCTGGTTAGTACCCAATCGCATCCAGCTATCCGTTATGCCGAGCGAGCGCAAGGTCGAAGTGGCTGCTACGGACCGGTAACCGGATAGGCTGCTGCATCTAGTAGCCCCTGGTCGGTAGTTTCGGCTCGTTGCAGTGATGTAGACCTGCATGTCTTGAGCCCCCGATGTGCCACAGCACGGTTTTCCCACCTGTAGAAGTATCCAAGCGGGCACCTGCTCGGGTTCAACTGCAGAGTGAAACAGACTATACTCAGCATAGGTGAATATCGGCTTTGACACAGTGCGAAAGTAAGCATGCATAACTCCGACCGGTTCGCAGATGCAGTGCGCGAATCCTAGACACCGTTCTCTATCCGTGACGGAACATCATGAAGCATTTCATAGATGCTCAATGACATCTTCCGGATCCGTCGGAAGGGCCGGGCCGTGAGAGAAGTGGTGTTGCTGCAAGATTCAAGTGGTTTGCTCGCCGGGTCATATTCAGCCGGAGGCTACAGTCGCACCCGAACCCGTTGCGTTGCCAGCGCCATCTCCTGCCACCAAGCGCGCCTTTTTGGCCCTTCGCTTCATCTCACGCTTGGACAGCGGTTTCTCGTTTTCCTCAACGGCTGCCTCCGAGCCGAGAGATGCCTTCCTCTTCAGGTTGTCTCCAGTCACTTGAGCCTGAGACACATTCTTCTTAGACCTTCCTTTCTGCCCCATTCCGGACTCCACAACCTGTGACTTTGACTTCTGTCCCCCGTCAACGATGTCGATGACTCCACGCCAGCTTGTGCGTTTCAATTTAGCTAGCGCAGTGACCTTTCTTGCTTCCTCACTGATTGCCTCCTTGCCGAGTTCCTGTGACAGACCCCATACACATGTCAGGTTGATGACATCCCATGGAGCCCTCACACTCAGGGCCCTCCTTGCCTCACTTGACACAACAATTCCCCTTCCGCGTGTCGCGCGGATCAAGGACATAGCATTGCCGATGAGATTCCGACGGGCTTCAAGCCCGCTCCCTGTAACCCCAGGCCCGTAGCAAATTTCCAGTCGTACCCCTCGTTCGATAGCGGCGGAAAGCATTTTAAATTTGAAGTAAAACGGAAGTCTCAAGGAGAAATCCAGAGAAATCAGGTCGCATTCGAGATTCGTGCATGCATTCAGGAGGGCTTTTTCATTGGTAGGGCGAAGCGCAACCAGGTCATACACCTGAGCTAAGCTTGCGAGGCGCTGATTCTGTGCGGGGTCGGACAAAGTCAAGTTCACACGAGAAAGCAGTTTCAAATTCTTGGGAGCATTTGTGGGTGCAGGTGGCGGGGCAAGATTTGATGGAAGCTTTCCGCTGATGGTCTGCGAGAGAGCGACGGTTGTGTAACCAACTGGTAGTCAGGTCAGTTCCTCAGGTGGTCATTTTCAGGGTCGCGCAACGCCGCTTAGGTCTTGTGCCTGGGAAGAGTGACATACGCTCTGCAAGAAAGCTCAATGTATCAGAGATCTCGGGATCACCCGCGGAGTATGGAACGTTCAGATCATAAAACATTTTGGAAGATTAAAAAGCCAAGTCCGCGCCCGCTATCCTCCAACCAATCTTCTCACAAAGCTTGCTTGTTCATAAGCTATCGAAGCTGTGGAAACTCGTCTGCAAAAGGAAATCTAGAAACTATCCCGCATCAACACCTGCTCCGTCCCGAGAAGGGCGCTAGTATTGATCGGGACGTCTCCCCCAAAGTCTCGTCACGTGCCTGGGAAGGCGGAGCGAACGCTCCTCTCCATTCTCATCACCACCCAATATTCAATCTCAGCCATCTGTAATTTGGACGATAGCACGGCTGCACTGTTTAGACAGGCCTGTATGCTCCTAGTCTTGCAGTAGCTGTTGTCTGTCCTCCGTCTCAATTCCTGGTTGCGACAATTTCTGTGTCGGGCTGCTCCTGTACCCCGCCGCCGCATTTTATATCCCGTCCATTGTGGGCGCACTCGGAAGCTGCAAATCAGCCGCCATCACCATGGCGCGCGTCTATGCCGATGTTAACGAGCATATGCCTCGGTCCTACTGGGACTATGATAGTGTGAACATCTCCTGGGGGGTTTTGGAGAACTATGAAGTGGTCCGCAAGATTGGTGAGTGAGCAGATCCGGTCTATTCACCCAACGGGAGCCTTACCATCATCGTGGATGACCTGTGCCACAACGATATAGTTGCATTTGAAGGCTGACAATTGTCAATACAGGCCGGGGAAAGTACTCCGAAGTGTTCGAGGGCATCAACGTTGTCAACTACCAGAAGTGTGTCATCAAGGTCCTCAAACCGGTCAAGAAGAAGAAGATCAAGCGTGAGATCAAAATTCTCCAGAATCTGGCGGGTGGTCCGAACGTGGTAGCCCTGTTGGATGTGGTTCGTGACAGTCAGAGCAAGACGCCGAGTTTGGTTTTCGAATACGTCAACAACACCGATTTTCGGACCCTGTACCCTCGTTTCACCGACTACGATGTGCGCTTTTATGTGTATGAACTTCTGAAGGCTCTGGATTTCTGCCACAGCAAAGGCATCATGCATCGGGATGTCAAGCCCCACAACGTCATGATTGACCATGAGAAGCGCAAAGTGAGTTCTATTGTGTACGCCCCAACATAGTTCCTTCGCTAACAAGGCACGTTAGCTACGGCTCATCGATTGGGGTCTTGCCGAATTCTACCACAAAGGCACTGAATATAACGTCCGAGTTGCCTCACGCTACTTCAAGGGCCCTGAGCTGCTTGTTGACTTCCAGGAATACGATTACTCCCTGGACATGTGGTCCCTGGGCGCGATGTTTGCCTCCATGATCTTCCGCAAGGAGCCCTTTTTCCACGGCCAGAGCAACTCAGATCAGCTGGTGAAGATCGCCAAGGTACTGGGAACCGAGGAGCTTTTTGAGTACTTGGATAAGTACGACATCGAGCTCGATCCTCAGTATGATGAAATACTCTCTCGCTACCCGAGAAAGCCCTGGCACTCTTTCATTAATGCCGACAACCAACGCTTCATCAGCGACGAAGCGATCGATTTCCTTGACAAACTCCTTCGATATGATCATGCTGTAAGTCTCCCTCGTCTCGTTCAAACCTTATCACTGTTGACCTTTCTTCGCTTTTTAGGAACGGCTCACAGCCCAGGAGGCTATGGCTCATCCCTACTTCGCCCCGGTTCGCGCAGCGGAGTCGCAGGCCGCTCGGAACAATGCGACGTCTCAATCGTGAAGCCAGGCGTTGTTGACCTGACTATTACTTCATACATTCAGGGATCTACTGAACCCTAACTCAGCACCTGCTGTGATTCAATTGCGTTCTTGAACACCGCCGGCTTGGTTCGAAGTTTTGAGTCAATATCTGGGTCCAAAGAGAGTGGTGACAATCAATCAACACAGGTGCAAACAGGATCCCACGGCGGCCACTTGCTGCCTCTTACTGGTATCACTCTACGCACCGTTTGTGCCATGTGCGATGGAATGCGGAACCAAACGATGATGACAGATGACGTACACCTAATATGTTGCCTGGGTATAGAGCCCATTTCACCTCACTCTTGGCGTACAGCGCACTCCAATGTATCTGATGACCTGTTCGGACTGATTGATATCTTATATTTCACGTTCCATGCCCCTCACAAGTTTTCTACATCTTCCTTGTCTGTTCAATTTCGTAAACTGCCTCGATGGTGTTGTGGGATACGCCTTCTCCATTACCAATTTCAGTTTATCTTATGCCACCACCATCCTGTGTCTACCGCGCATTTGTGTCTTTAATGTCTTTCTGTTCTGGTCATGGAAAGGAGTGAGGGGGTCTTATTGGGGGCTTAATTGATTCTCTAAGCTGTCTCTTTTTGAAGTGGCGAAAGCATGCATTTCCAGATTTTGAGTATCGTTTGCCTTAATGTGCAGCTTTCGATAGATCAAACTAATGTCATACTCGACCAGAGATGCTGCTCTAAGGAGGAGAGTAGAAACTAGGTAGAATTGCTGCTCGTGCTCAGGCTGAAATATATCACGTGATGTGACTCGAATCCTCGCGTCTTCCCCTATCGATTAGCCGGTTGAGTCAGTATCTTGAAGCAGAAGATCAAAGAATGCGGATTGACTCATATGCTCTCCGAATAATACATGAGATTGATCATTCATGCTTTTTGGACATCAAATCGATCCCATACTTTAACTACATCGTTCTCCACCGCCGGAGTCTTTTCTGGGCCCCGCAGTCACATCCTCTGATTCGTTCCGTTCTCTGCTCTGCGCCAGCGAAATTTAATGCCCGCATTTCGCACAACCATCTGCCCCTCCCCCTCCTTGTTCTTATTCCGGTATTCAAGATACTTATCCGGCAATTTGTGGCGCGGTCGGCGCCTTGGAGATTGTTAACTCCTCCGATTTCTAAAACATACTCAAGGATGTCTCAGCCAACTCCCTCTCCGAACCCGGGTGAGTAGTCCTCCGTGCTTTGCGCCGTGACTCATTGTCAATCTGACCGCGGGGAGAGATGCAAATGGCTAACAGTCTTCAATGTTTTCAGTGGGTGAGCCGAAGGCTCCTATGACCGACCCCGCCCCTCAGGCCGATGATCAGACCAGAAACCAGGTTGTCGACCCTGCCGGGAAGGATGCGCAGGGTGCTCCTAAGGTCAAGAGTGAGAAAGAGTGTATGTCTCTCGAGTCTCGATTGTGGATGATATAGCATGTGTATCGGTTGCTGATGGTGGGATTGTTGCCATTGGTTAGTAGAGCGAGAACGACGAAAGGCCGAGAAGGCGAAGAAGTTCGCCGAGAAGCAGGCAAAGGCTGCTGCGGCCAAGCCTGCACCTGTCAAGGCTGAAAAGAAGGCCAACAAGATCGAGAAGGAGAAGACGACCGATGCGTACGATCCGAAGGTCATTGAATCCGGCCGGTACGAGTGGTGGGAGGAACGTGATCTTTTCAAGCCCGAGTTCGGCCCGATGGCAAGGTCAAGCCCGAGGGTTACTTCGTCATCCCAATTCCTCCCCCGAACGTCACAGGTTCCCTGCACATGGGCCACGCTCTTACCAATGCCCTTCAGGATACTATGATTCGTTGGGAGCGGATGAAGGGAAAGACCACCCTCTGGCTTCCTGGTATGGATCACGCCGGTATCTCCACTCAGAGTGTTGTCGAGAAGATGCTCTGGAAGAAGGAAAAGAAGACCCGCCACGATCTTGGCCGTGAGGAGTTCACGAAGAGAGTGTGGGCTTGGAAGGACGAGTACCATGCGAACATCAAGAATGCTTTGCGGAGAGTCGGTGGTTCTTTCGATTGGTCGCGTGAGGCTTTCACCATGGATCCCAACCTGTCCGCCGCCGTCACAGAGACTTTTGTACGGCTCCACGAAGAAGGCATCATCTACCGTGCCAACCGCCTTGTCAACTGGTGTGTGGCCCTGAATACCTCTTTGTCCAACCTCGAGGTCGAGAACAAGGAGGTCGAAGGACGTACACTGCTTGACGTGCCTGGATACGACAAGAAGATCGAGTTCGGTGTCTTGACCCACTTCTGCTATGAGATTGATGGTACCAAGGAGAGAATCGAGATCGCCACTACTCGTCCGGAAACCATGATCGGTGACACAGGTATTGCCGTGCACCCTGACGACAAGCGCTACCAACACCTCATTGGCAAGTTCGCCCGCCATCCATTCATCGACCGCCTGATGCCCATCGTTGCCGATACGGATGTTGATCCCGAATTCGGTACCGGTGCGGTGAAGATCACGCCAGCCCACGATTTCAACGATTTCAACCGTGGAAAGGCCCACAACCTCGAGTTCATTTCCGTGCTGAACGATGACGGTACGTTTAACAAGAATGGTGGCCCGTTCGTTGGCATGAAGCGTTTCGATGCCCGTTACAAGGTCATTGAGATGCTGAAGGAGAAGGGATTGTACGTGAAATGGGAGAATAACCCCATGAAGATTCCTCGCTGTGCCAAGTCGAATGATGTTATTGAGCCTATTCTGAAGCCCCAGTGGTGGATGAAGATGCAAGATCTCGCCGAGCCTGCCATCAAGGCTGTTGAGAATGGTGAAATTGTCATCAAACCCGAATCCGCTGAGAAGAACTACTTCCGCTGGATGAGAGGTATCAATGACTGGTGTCTTTCCAGACAGCTCTGGTGGGGTCACCAGGCTCCTGCTTATTTCGTCAAGATCGAGGGCGAAGAGGGCGATGACAGTGACGGTAACCTGTGGGTTACCGGGCGTACCGAAGAAGAAGCCCGCAAGAAGGCCGAGGCCAAGTTCCCTGGCAAGACATTCTCCTTGGTCCGGGACCCCGATGTGCTCGATACCTGGTTCTCATCCGGTCTGTGGCCATTCTCAACCCTGGGATGGCCCCGCCAGACTCATGATCTGGAGAACCTGTATCCTACGTCTGTGCTCGAGACTGGTTGGGATATTTTGTTCTTCTGGGTATGCTTTCCGCTACATTGTGTTCGCCGTAGCTGTGCTAATCAATTTATAGGTCGCACGTATGATCATGCTTGGTATCAAGCTGACCGGCAAGGTGCCCTTCAAGGAAGTGTACTGCCATTCCTTGATTAGAGATTCCGAGGGTCGCAAGATGTCTAAGTCCCTTGGTAATGTCATTGATCCCTTGGATGTCATGGAGGGTATCGAGCTTCAGTCTCTCCATGCCAAGCTACTTACTGGTAACCTTGCCGACAAGGAGGTTGCAACTGCTACCAAGTACCAGAAGAAGGCCTTCCCCAAGGGCATTCCCGAATGTGGTGCCGATGCTCTGCGTTTCGCCCTTGTGTCTTATACTACTGGTGGTAAGTTCTGATATTACCTGGCCTAAGATGGCCGAATCAAAGCACCGACTGACTTTGGTCTAGGTGGTGATATCGCATTCGACATCCAGGTTATTCACGGCTACCGCCGTTTCTGCAACAAGATTTACCAGGCTACTAAGTTTGTCTTGGGCAGATTGGGCGATGACTTCAAGCCCCTGCCAGCCCCTTCAAAGACTGGTCGGGAGTCTCTTTCTGAGCGCTGGATTCTGCATAAATTCAACAGCGCTGTCAAGGAGGTCAATGAGGCTCTGGCGCAGCGTGAGTTCTCTATCGCCGCTTCTACCACTTACCAGTACTGGTACGGCCAGCTTTGTGACATCTTTATCGAAAACTCGAAGTATCTCTTGGCGCCTGAGGTCCCCGCGGAAGTACAGGAATCGGCCAAGCAGACTTTGTACACTGCCCTCGAGGGCGCTCTGACTCTTATTCACCCCATCATGCCTTTCGTTACGGAGCACCTGTGGCAGCGCCTGCCTCGCAGACCTGATGACGAGACCATCTCGATCATGAAGGCTCGTTATCCCCAGTACAACCCAGAGTTCAACGACCCCGAAGCCGAGACGGCCTATGAGCTCATCCTGAATACCTCCAAGGCTATCCGGTCGATCCTTGCCCAGTATGAGATCAAGACTAAGGGCGATATTATTATCCAGACATATGACCCCGTCAGCCACAAGACCATCTCGGACGAAGTGACCAGCATCAAGTCCCTGGGTGGCAAGTTTTTGGGAGAGCTCAGCGTAGCTGACCCCGAGAACACCAACCCCCCTTCAGGCTGCGTCGTTGCCCCTGTCGGTGCCCAGGCCGCTGTGTACCTGCGTGTGTCGAAAGAGGTAGCTCTGGAGCAGGAAGAGAAGGCCAAGGCCAGCTTGGAGAAGGCACGCGAGACTGTTCGCCGCCAACAGACTCTCGTTAATGGCGCTGGATGGAAGGAGAAGGCTAAGCCAGAGGTTCGTGAACAGGAAGAGAAAAAGCTTCGGGATGCCGAGAGTGAGGCTGCCCGGTTGGAAGAGCAGATTCGCGAGTTTGAGAAGCTTCGCTTGGAGTAGATAGATGACCCGGAGATATAGCAATAAAATCGCCCTTTTACTGTTAATTGCATACCTTATTGCTTGTTACTTGGACCATAGCGAGTTTATTTGTGTGAACATGTATGCTTTTCTACTGGTACTATAGATAGTCCAAATATTTCATCAGAATGGGAAAGAGTCTCCAGTTAAGCTTATCGATAAGCGGCGCCAAGACATTTTCCGCCAAAACTTTTCGCTCCGCTTTTTTCTTCCTCGACCAGGCAAGTCGGTGATCGGCGAAACATCCAAGTTTTCGTCGTTGGAAGCAGAAAAAAATCAAAATGCTCAGAGAAGTGTAAGTCTTGTTCTGGAATTGAAATTCTTTGTGTATTAGGAGAGCAGTTTCTGACTAGGTATTTCTCAACAGCAAACCCAAGAATCCGCGCACAGCGCGCATTCTCAAGGCCCGCGAGCCCCAGCTCATCGAACCCCCCAAGAGAACCCTGTTCATGCATGGCTCAAAATGCCCGACGGCAGTTAACACAGTCCTGAAGACGTTCCACTCGCTGACGATCCCCAACTCCGTCCTCTTCCATAAGAAGAATGAGAACATTCACCCGTTCGAGAGCGCCGAGAGCCTCGAGTTTCTCGCCAACAAGAATGAGTGCGGCATCGTTGTTTTCGGAAGCAGCAGCAAGAAGAGACCCAACTGCCTGACTGTGGCGCGGATATTTGACTCCAAGCTCCTGGACATGTGCGAGTTGATGCTGCTTCCTAACCCGGACGGAGACTCGATCCCCCCGATCAACAACCTCAAGATGCAGATCGGAATTGGTTTACGGCCTATGCTGCTCTTCGCGGGTACTGCATGGGAAGATTCTACCTCTACTGCTCATGTTATGCTGAAGAGCATGTTTGTTGATATGTTCAAAGGCGAGGAGTCGGATAAGATCGATGTCGAGGGACTGCAGTATGTGCTGACGATTGCCGCTGAGGAACCTACCGACGGCCTGGCTCCTGTCATTCATCTCAGATGGTACAAGCTTCGGACAAAGCGCAGTGGACACAAACTCCCCCGTGTTGAGCTGGATGAGATCGGCCCCAAGTTCGACTTCAAGATCGGTCGTCTGCATGAGGCACCCGAGAGTGCCCTGAAGGAGGCTATGAAGCAGGGCAAGAGACCTAACGAGAACATGAAGACGAAGAAGAACATCAGCATGGACGTCATGGGTGACAAGATCGGTCGTGTGCATTTGGGCAAGCAGGATCTGTCTGGCCTGCAGACGAGGAAGATGAAGGGTCTGAAGCGACGTGCTGGTGTGGAGTCTGATGAGGAGGATGCGGAGATGATGGATGTGGACGATGTCTCGGACGACGAGGGACGGAAGAAGGCGAGAACGGAATAGACCTTTGAGTCCGTTTGTCTGGCGATGTTTGTGACGCATGATACTTTGTCTATCTATACCGCATAAGGCGTTCAGGTGGTTTGGTTTCTCTGTCGAGTCCGTCGAGCAGATCGATCATTTTGTTCATGGTCACTATAGCTTAAAAGTATCCAGCATATATCAAAATTACCTTATTCTTCTATCAACTGACCATACTACTTGGACTGCTTGACTGCATCTGCATTCCTTCGTTATTACCCTAGAAGCAGCAGTCAAAGTTCCGTTCATCCCCATGATCCTGCCTGCCATTTAACATTTGGTTTCATATTCGCTTCGGTATAAACAATGGGGAACTCCTCGACAGTCCCTTCAATACATAATTCGAAAAAGCAACTCTCTCTATCTGATACGGACAACTGGATAATAGACACTCACGTGATATGACGTCTGTGCCCTTGGTGGCCTCACATGCCGAGGATCATTTGCAGTTGCGCGGGTGAAGCGTAGTCCATTAAATACCGTTCCCCCGCCATCTCTCCTGATGATGGGATCATGCCCATCCATATTTGTACCTTATCATTCCGCCTGGTAGTCTTCTAAATCTATTCCTTTCCTTTCTACATCCTGACCCTCCTGACACCTGGTGTTCTCCGTCGGTAGACATCAATCCAATCCAATCCGTCGCTGGTCCGATCAAGCTACCGAGGTCCCACAGACACCATGGAAGCCCTTCTGGTATGGTTGACGCTCCGCTGGAATTTGTCACTCCGGCTATATCGCACGCTTTTCTGATCGCTGTTTAGTCTCGCTTGGATTCATTTGTCCTTGATCCCCAACTCGCGCCTCTTCTGTCGCTCGTCAAGGGTGCCCGCAATGGCATTGTATACGGGTCGAAAGTGCGGTTTCCGCACGCTTTGGTGTATGTCTGAATCTGCCGGCGGAAACACGATCTTGACATTGAGAATCCAGCTAATGAGATGTGTCTTTGTCTCACAGAATGATCTTTCTATTCCGCTCTGGAACGTAAGGAGATCCTACCGACATGCCGAGTATTGCCGAAATACTGATTTCGTGATTCAGATTCCGAGAAAAGGTCAAGCTCGTCCTGAAAGCCACACGCCAGCATGCTCGGAACCTGGCAACCTTTGCTCTTATATATAAAGGCTCCATGATTGTTCTACGCAACGTCAATCCTACTGGTGTCGGGAAAGAAGGCCCCTATGACAGCTTCTTTGCGGGTCTACTGGGAGGGTACGCAGTGTTCGGGCGACACAAAACAAGCATTACCCAGCAGGTGAGATCAATTTTTAAGTTTGAGAAGGAGAGATTTGAAACTAATGTGCCTGTCCAGATCGTCATATACGTCTTTGCTCGCGTAGTACTTGCTCTTGCCAAGCTTTCTGTCCAGCCGAATATGCACCCTCTCTCCTCTTTGATCACTCCCGAGTCGCGCGCAAGGATCGAGGCCAACGCTTGGCCAGTATTTGCAAGTCTCAGCTGGGCTCTTGTTATGTACATCTTCCGTTGGCATCCAGAGACGCTTATGTCGAGTCTGAGAAGCAGCATGGTATACATGTATGTCGTAACCTTGGCCGCACGATGTCTTCAGATACTAATGCTTTTCAGCTACTCCGACTCGGACCACTGGGATTCATTCCGCAACTTCTTGATACACAACAAATAGATGGGCCCTCTGGATTGTCTTTTTTTGCTCAGTGTTTTGACTCCTCGCACGGCTGGTCAGGACGTCTGCATACTTACCATGGAGTATACCTGGCGCATAGAATGGGTACATTGTTCTGGTTTCCCTTCTTGTTCATTTTTACCCTGTATTACGTTTTATCTCATGCGAAGGGCTTGGGCTGCCTCCGCATGATTCAGGACACAGTGACTGTGTCTAGTCAGCTTGACTTGAAGAGTCAGCTGGGATCCCTGCCGCAGGCGGATAGGGGAGATGGTGTTCATGACAATCAGTATAGAGGACTTTAATACAACAGCTAAAGTATGAGGCCTTCTCTTCATTATGTCATTTTGTATCTATCATGGGTGGGGATGTTCTAGGAAGCCTAATCAGAACATTCCCGTCGCCCAGTCCTTAAGTATAAAGCCAGCGTATGTCTTCGACGCACACAGTACTTAAAGCATCAGTGAAGCCACAGAGAATATATACTGCCATTATCAAAGCGGACTTTGTAGAAGTGACCATGAGTTACTTGCCCTAACCCTATACTCATGGAAACAGGCTGGCAATAGAATGAACACATGCATGTTATATAGGCAAGTCTCAGGCTGTACTATAACATGCACTGGGTTGATATTGTCTAGTACTTATCATTAACTACTTAGTCAATTTATGGGCAGGGTGAAAGAACCAGGCCTAAGGCATCGGCCAAATTCACTTCAGTGAATGTCACTCATTATTCACTACTCAGCAACAACTCGCAGGACCTCTATATTACGTCCTCAACTTCATCCTCAGAAATATTCCATAAGTTCTCATCAACGTATTTAATAGCATGACGAATTCCAAATGAATCCAGAAGTGAACAGAGCCAGTGACTCTGATCCGAATGGGGATGTCATCCTCGTGGTATCCCTACCAAAGCAGCCTCGCGCATACGCACCTTCCAGAGTTCACTCAGACGGAGAGGCCGGACTCGCCAGATACCGAGCTTCCTCTAAACACTTGAGCTTGGCTTCGCAGTACTTCGAAAAGAGGCTGAAGAAAGAATGGGGCGAGGGCGAAGAACTGCAGAAGAACGGCAGCGTTGGGATGCTTCTCCCCAATACTGACCCTGAGGCGTTTTCGATCCTGCTTGATCTAATGCACTGCCGCACGCAGGAAGTTCCTACCGCGGTGACCTTTGATGAGTTGGTCGAGCTGGCTGTCCAAGTCACCTACTTCAAATGCCACGGAGCTCTGGGGCTGTATCCCGCGAGATGGATCGAACATTTGAAGGCGAAACGTCCCAACACTTACTGTGATGAGATCGTCAAGTGGATTTTCGTTTCTGGGGTGTTCAATGATTGCGAGCTTTACGCGTCTGTTACCTGCTTGGCGATGCGACAGAGCAAGGACATCATCAATACGCTGGATCTTCCTATACCGCTATCTGTTACAGGTGAGTGAGCCCGTATGAGCCATCTCCGGGATGTTACGCTTACATAGAAAGACACTATCAATCGGAAAAGGAAAAGTCTGCTGTACCTTTTATTCAGAGATGTGGAAGTGAGACGTAATAGATTAGAGGCAGGCGAGATCACCTGCACTTTCGAGTGCGACTCGTTCAGACTAGGGACACTTATGAAGCAAATGAAGGCCCACGGACTGCCATGGCCGCGCGAGAATCTCGATTATAACGGCCTTGCACCAGAAAACGTGGCTAAGGAAATCCGCGACTTCGAGAAACCGAGCTCCAAGGTGTCTTGCAAAGGTCGGTGCAGTGGACTTCTTGGACCTAGAGCAGTCGAAGAGCTCATATACCATCGAACAAAATCGTCTGGACTTATCTTGATACCGGAACAATGGCGTTGACATTGTCACAAGGACCGCTTGAAAGTACATGTGTGGTTTGTCTGGGTGAAAGCCCTCAGGCCTCAGTTGATTCTTATTCCTTCAATCAAGTGAAACATAGGATTGAATGTGTTCTAAGCCTTTCAAATAAGTTATTAAATTCATCTCACTTGAAAGACAATGTAACTCCAGTTTTAACCAGTGCGTGCAGTGAATTTTCTAATTATGTCCATATTTTAAAGATTTGATTCTCTCAGAAACCTATTGTCTAATGTCCTTGACATACCTTCTCCTTACCAGTGAGCAAATCATGAGAATATGCTCGCAGTATCTGAGCTGTACTGTGAAAAGTGACGTTGACAACACAAGCATCGCTATAGCAACTCTCTACTCTCCTCTCTCTAACAACAAACTGCCATCATTCATTGATCAACCTTCTTAACCTTCTCGTCTCTGGACTGAACGACTTAATCTTCTCTTCTCTTCATCAAGGAACTACAACCAACTACCTGCAACCTCCCTCACCTGAAGGGTGAGCATAAAATATGAACCTCCTCACACATCGGACTCCTTAAGCCTTCATTCTAACAAGATAGGATGAGTGATACCTGCTACGAGATTGACCCTTCTGGCGATATTGTCCTAGTTCTATCCGCACAGCGACGAGCTTCCCCCAAGACCAGCCCAGCAGAGGGAATAACAAAAGCAAGACCAGTGGAATCAACTTCGCCAACATCTACAAAAGCAGATACGGACACACCTATTCAAAACTATGCGAAAGAGAAACCTCCTAATTCAGAGGAAACCGCATCATCTGCAGTTGAAATTCCGCGGACCCGATGCAAAGTCTCGTCGAAACATCTCTCTTTGGCATCAAACTACTTCAACAACCATCTCAAGAAACGTATCTCTGCAACTAGCACAGCAGACCCGTCAGAGGAAGGCCATATACTTGACTGCAATCCTGAAGATTTACTGATTGCCATGAACATGATACACAGTAAAGGCCAGCAGATCCCTAAGGAGGTGGATTCGGCAATGCTTTTTAAAGTTGCTGCTATGGTCCGCTATCTCGACTGTCTAGAGGCATGTACCTTTTCTTTGGAGTCTGAATGCAGCAATTGGTCGATGAGAATAAAATAGTCTGCGACACATGGGACAACAGCTTGAAATGGGTCTATATCAGCTGGGCTTCCGATCGCCCATCCTTGTTTACAGGCTCCACGAGTGCTGCCATGTCTCGGAAATGTTCGTCGTCTACGTACCCTGCCGACCTCAATCTTCCAGATCGTTCAAAGGTATTGTTGCTGATTATCTTCCCTCATCCTTTATTGGCCCCAGGAAGCTTCGGGTCTAGATCGAATACGTTTTGGGGCCACAGGTGCTAATTACAAACCCATTTTCTAGATGATATTGATAAAGGCTGGACGACTGCAAGCGAGAAAAGCAAAGAGCGGGCTCTCAGCTGAGACTACAAGGCGAGACGGTTTATTGCCATTTTTGCTGCGACTCTCTTCATCTGGGGGTTATCATAAAAGGCGACAAGCCATATGGATAGTTCCTCGCTATGCTCGGTGCATGAAAGTCTTCAATCGAAAACGACTCATTGCACTGCTGGCAAGCCACGCGGTGTAAACGCTGCATCTCTTCTCACCTTGAAAGCTGCACTCGCGAAAGCATGCACGGGAGCAGGGCTCGCCTTGCAAAACTACCCATTGAATGACTGATTGCTATGGTCGAAAGGAGTGATCGATGCTGAAATTCGCCTCGTGTCTTGCTTCTAGTCATCCTTTCACTCTTAAGAAGATGGCTCATGCTATTGTTGCGTTCCCTGGCCTTGTTTCTCTTTAGCTGCGTGATACCCTTTGCTTCTATCGAACTCTGATCCGAATTCTGACCTCGTGGACTCTATGCAGCCCTGAGATGGTCTTTGTGTCTGATTCCCCTTTCTTCTTATGGATTGTCTCAGTTATTGAGAGCTGTGTGCTTAGCCAAGAGTGTTCATAGTCAACAAGCATGCAATTCTTCCAGGCCAGTCTACCATTAAAAACATGTGGATGACTCTAAAAAACCAGTGATTCGTGTAAGTTGCACTCTACAGCTTGCTCTTGGGATCGACCAGCTTTTCGACCTCCGCAAACTGGTAGTAGTAATCTAAACTCTGCGGGTTGAGCAGAGTACCCGACGGTTTGATCTTCTTGCCCGACACGATCTGCTTTACCGGTAATTCCACCTTCTTCAGATTCACGGTTGTCTGTACCACGTTAGTCATAGTCGAGTACCATTTAAGACATAAAAGAGGAGCACGTACCGGGATCTCAGGCGTCTGGAAGACATACTTCGGCACATGCCGGGCGCTCAGTGCCTTCCGAATTGCCTCCTTCACTCTGGAGACAAGTTGCGGCGTGAATCGGTATCCCGGGCGCATTAACAGGAAGAGCATGACGGATTCGTCTGCGTCGGTTGGCCGTCGCTGGCCGACGCAGATTGAATCCGCGATCTCGGTTGAGAACTGCGTGTCGATTACGTTGTAAATCTCGGCGGACCCGAAGCGGACGCCTGAGGGGTTGAGGACGCCGTCTGATCTGCCCAGGAAGAGTATTTGCATTGTGATGGGGTGGATGCAGATGAAGTCGCCGTGGGTCCAGACATCTACACATATAGGTTAGTAGATGGTAGATGCATTGAGAGGGGTGGGGAGAGAAGGAGACTTACTGTCAAACCGGGCAAAGTATGAGTCAAAGTACTTCTGCGGCCCGTCGTCACCCAAGAATTTGACTGGCATAGTTGGAAATGCTGCGGTGGCTACCAACTCTCCTGGCACACCATCTGGCACGGCAGTGCCTTTGACGGCGGTAGCACCCTCATCCGCTTGATCGAATACTGCGATAGGAATACCTAGAGCTGGACCTTGGCACCCGCCCACATATAGAGGAGTAAGCGGATTCTCCAAGCCAAAGCAGGCGGCGAGATCGGTGCCGCCGGAGATATTCGCCAACTGGGTATGAGACGGGAAACCCTCGTCGTAGAACCATTCAAACAAGGATTCCGAAAGGACCATGCCGGTGCTCGTGACGATGCGGAGTGCCCGGAGCTCTGCGATGTCTCTTGGTCGTATGTTGTTCTTCCGGAGCTCATGGAGATAGCGCGGTGATGTGCCGAAATGAGTCACTTTATGCTTGCCCAGTAGCTCAATGAGGAACTTGGCGTCCGGTAGGAATGGACTTCCATCGTACAAGATGGCTTTGCCGCCAAACATTAGGCCCGATACGGCAGACAGGTACATGATCCACCCTGTCGTCGTGTATTGCAAAACGGTCGAATTTGGTCCATGATCACGGTGCAACCGAGCCTCTTTGTAGGTATTGAGTATGACTCCGCCTACCCCGTGAACGATGGGTTTGGGTTTTCCAGTTGTCCCGGAGGAGTACACGACCAGGAAAGGATCCCTGAATCCGACCCTGACAAACTCAAGTTTGTCCGAGGATGCCCTTGCAAGAAAGGCTGCAACGGGTTGGGTTTTGGGCACGTCGGTCACATCGACTGGCTGGCCGGGGAACCGTGGCATCGCGACGATGCTTTCAAATTCGGAAACTTCCCGGAGACCATCAACAATGTCCTTGATTTTTGGTCGAAGGTCAATCCGCTTCCCATTGTAGATTGCGAAATCGTCAACAAAGACGTACTTTGGCTTCAACTGGAGGAGACGATCGAGGATTCCTTTGACGCCCGTGTCAGTGGACGTAGACGAGAACCACGCTCCGAGAGCCGTCGTTGCCAGGAAGACGACAAGTGTATCGACGCTGTTACTTGCTACAGCGGCGACTCGATCTCCCTTGACGACCCCGGCTGCTTTGAGTGCTTGCACCATTCCCCCAGTCTTGCGTCTCAACTCGGCCCATGTAATGTTGAAAGATGGTTCCGCCCCACCCTCCCTGATTTCTGTCAGAGCAACTTTGCTGTCTTCTTTGCCTTTCGTTGTAATCTGTAGATGCCCCGAGCTTGACCTCTCCGCCGAAAAGAGCATATTCTCGGCAAAGTTGAGTCGCACACCCTCAAACCAGGTAGGAATGCTGTCAATGCGGGCTGATTCATCGACAACAGTTTTGTAAGTACCTTCTGAGATGATGGGAAAGTATCTCCAGCAAAAGTCCCAAAATGATGCACGATTGCCCGTTGACCACCGATAGAGAGAGTGGTAGTCCTTAGCAATTGCGTTAGACAACAAAGGAGAGCGGGATACTAGCCTCAAAGGTACGTACTGGAAGCTGAAGTCCCTTCTCCTTCTCTAACTCCGATTTGAAAGACCACATCTGGGTAGACTGCGGGTTAGGATGCTCCCAGAGCTTTCTCGGCAGGTCGGACGCTGAGGCCATTGGATCTTTACTTGAGAGTACAATAGTGAGCTTGCTTGAATTGAGACAATCAATTGAAGAACTTCTAGCAGTAACGCTCGGTATACTTATAGCCAAGAAAAGGCGGATCCTAGCTGATTGACATCCGCTTATTGTCCTTTATCAATGACAAACTGGCCTCGGTTAATGGCTGATACCAGTCGGTTTTTGCGGAGTTGCGGGAATGCGGGGAAGAAAAGGAGAATCCACCTTTAGAGGCGTCTTGCTCCGGACCTGTCGTGTCAATCCTTCTGCTGCATTTTGATATAGACCAGTGCTAGCCTAGTCCTTGAATTGAGCTGGAGTGGTGAGCCATTTGTTGTAAGGGTGTGTTGATGGGCGACTAAGAAAGTCCGCCAACTGGTTACAGGAGAACTAGGTACCAGTTGACGCTAATGATCAACAAACTGAATCTCTTTTTTGAAGCAGAGGAATAAATTGTATCATTGATCAGCATAGAACGCGTATTGAACACATATTTTAGGCTGCGAAATGAGTCTCTAAATGGAGTTGATAGGCGACATGTTGATGATAGTCGGCCTCTCCCGAAGCTGTTTTTAGCGGCTGTCACCCACGGCGAGTGCCGACACTTTATGGAGCATTGTCGACTGCTCTTCTGAGTTATTAACCCAGCATTGCTCCCAACTTCTGCAAGGCTGGTCCTTGCAATTGAGTTCAAAGGACCTTTACACACTACCACACTTTAGCAAGTCTCAACGCATCTTCGCACCCAAACACCATGGCACCACCCGTCCTCACCTCCAGCCCAACTCTCCGCATCACCCCGAACCCTTCACCAAAGAGGCCTTCGCGCCCTTCGGCTCCGCCATCAGCTGTCCTCTCCCACGCGATCTCTCCTCCGCACCTCCTATCTCCTCTCTCCCTCCTCACGATCCAACTCCAGTCGTCGCAAACCAATCCTCCGCCCTCAAGTACAGCCCCATCTCCCCACTGCTCGACTGCTACGCGCAATGTCCCAGCGCCCAGCCCTCTTCCGCCCGCATGAGCATGTTCTCGTGCTTCCCGCGCAAACTGCGCACCGCCAGAGGAACAGGAGGGGAGACTAGCGTCTTCGACGTCCGCATCCTGGAGCGACACCCCTTCACCACGCAGACATTCACACCGATCGACCTATCCAGCCAGACCCGCGCAGGCGATGCCGAGGAACCATTCTACCTGGTTATCGTGGCGCCGACGTTGAAGGGCCAGACGGCAACGGCGACGACGCCGTCGGGGGATATCGTGGCGATCAGGGATCCGCCTGACTTGAACGATGTGCGGGCGTTTGTGGCGGGCGGTGGGCAGGCGGTGACGTATGGGGTTGGGACGTGGCATGCGCCGATGGTGGTGCTGGGTTCCAGGCGGGTGGATTTTGTGGTTGTGCAGTTTGCCAATGGAGTGGATGATGAGGACGTGCAGGAGGCTGCTTTTGGGGAAGGGATTGTGGTTGATTTGGGGAAGAATCGGACGTTGGGTGCTTCCAAGCTCTGAAACGCTGGAGGGAGTGGTATTCTTGCCTACGTCTGCAATGGCGGCCTTTGTCCATAGAGGACCTTATTTATGAATGTATGATGAATGTACGTTAAGCATGACTAGATTGGTATCTCGAGCAAAAGTGCAACACACAAGAAGATGTGGTACATGTACATAGAGGGTCAGGAGTAACGGGCACTACGCGGTGGCTGACGCGATAGTATGGCTATCGCTGCCGCCCGAAGACCATGGAGCGCGGTTACCCAACGACTGTCGCACTCGACTGGCCATCTCTAGGGTCTCCTTCGGCAATCCTGCGAGCTGCGCGACTTTCAGCGCATGGGAGTCACGGTTCACTCCCTCGCGCAGTCGATGGACAAATGAGAACGACCCCGAAGCGGTCTCTTTCACATCGGTACAGTATCGCCCCAGTGCCTCAAACTCCTCGGTCATGTCAGCTAAAGCATGGAAATGCGTTGCGAACAACGTCCGGCACTTGTTGCGGTAGTGCAGATGGTGCAGACAGGCAAAACTGACGGCTGTCCCGTCTTCTGGCGTTGTCCCGCGGCCAACCTCATCCATGATAACAAAGGAGCGCGCTGTCGCCTGCTTCAATATGGTGGCTGTCTCCAGCATCTCCACCATGAAAGTGGACTGATCTCGGAATAAATCGTCAGCCGCCCCAATCCGACTGAATATCTGATCTACAATGCCAATCTCCGCATACTCAGCAGGCACGAATGACCCAACCTGTGCCAAAATGGTGATGAGCGCATTTTGGCGCAGGAACGTGCTTTTACCGGCCATGTTCGGACCAGTGATGAGCCAGATCCTCTCCGAATCGCCCAGGAAGCAGTCGTTACTGACGAACTGTCGCCCTTGCTCCTCAAGCCCAAGCTTGACTGTTGGATGCCTTCCCCCAACGATTTTGTGCGTTACTCCACTGGTGAGGATCGGACGTATTAGACGTTGCTCTTCAGCCAAGGTGGCGAAAGAACACGCAACATCAAGCTCGTCCATTACGGCAGCGTTGCGTCTGATCTTCACTAGGTTGAGAATCACTTCGCGGCGCAGTGTCTCAAAGATCGCCTGTTCCTCCTGTCGGATTTGGACTTTCACCTGGTCCATTCGGTCACCCAACGCCGTCCAGGCGGGAAGGTAAAAGGACCGTGTCGATTTGGTTGAAGACACATTCCGCGTTACACCTAGCTCCTCTAGAGACTGCTGGGAAATTTTGGCTCCTTTGACATGGCAAATATGTCCCAGGCCAGAAGTCCATCTCAACGAGAGGGCAGAAGACCCGACGGCTTCGCGAAGACGTTGAGTAAGACGCATCTTTTCATCCTGCAGCCGGTCCAAGGACTCATGTAGCTCAAGAAGAGCCGCGCTGGCATTGCGCCTCATGATCCAAGTGTCCGGCGCGGTTGTCTCTTCCACCGAGGTCTTGGATTGATCGCTGTTCTTAGCTCTCACTTTTTTTGGAAGCGCCTCCACTTCTCCAGGAAGTCCCTCACTCATGGCTACTTCCTGCGCCAGAATCGCCGCTTCAGCAGCCGTATCATCCTCAAGACGCTGCTTCTGCAGTAGACCTTCTTCGTCAATGGCAGCTGAGATCCGATCCGCCAGCATGGTCGGTCCATCCAGACAGAGTCGACCGGTCATAGCTGAGACACTACGCTTGGCATCGATGGACTGTGTATGAGGCAAACTATCAAGTCGGCTGTTATCTTGGCTTGATAAAACCATCTTGATCTCTCTCGAAGCCTGGATGGCCCTGGCAAGGCAGATCAGGTCGTCCGCGTCTCCTCTCCCCAAGGTGAATTTCTGGACCAAGCGTTGAGCATCGTAGCTTCGCTTCAGCAGTTGAATTACACTGTCGCGTAAATTACTATTCTCGAGAAAGACCGATACAAGGTCGAGCCGTTCGTTGATTACCTGCAATGATGTGGAAGGGGATGCTACGAATATATCAGTCGATGCCGCTGCAATCTGCGAAAATACAGAACAGAGTGAGACATACTCAGGCGATCTCTCAGCAGACGTGGTCCACTTTTGGTAGACGTCCGGCGCACCGCATGTAGTAAACTTCCTTTCCCAAAGCCATCCCGCGCCGTTTCGAGAATTTCCAGGCCTCTCAGACTGTTCCGGTCAATGTTCATAGACTCATTCAGATGTCGACGACGAGGCGGCTGAAGTTTCAGATTCAAGCCCTGCAGCTGAACTCTGATATACTCCAGCAAGCTATAACCGGCTGCGACCTCTTCCGGCGTGAAAGCATCAGAATCTTGGTCAGCTACTGGCGCCTCAAGCGCAGAGCTCCACTGTGCTATAGGTAGAATCTTGCTGGGATATGCGAAAAATGTCATCAAGCGATGGTCATGCCCAACCAGAAGTTGCAGCTCCTGTCCGATCAGGTCCTGAAGTTTCTGTTCCACGAGTATCTCCCGCGCTCCGATCCGAGCAATCGCCGACGGAAGCATCTGAGTGGTAGTCGATTGTGTAAAGAAATCTCCTGTGGATAAGTCGAGCCAGGACAAGCCAACGCGCTGGGATGCGGAAGACAATATGTGCTGCTGCGCAGACAAATCACCCTCCTGTTGTTCTAGTTGCGCTTTCAAGGCCGGCACGTCGATATAAACCGCCAGCAAGAAATTGTTCTCCGAAGGGTCCATAAACTTCTCGTCGATTAGGGTACCTGGCGTGATAATTCTGGCTACCCTGCGATCAAATAGCAGACCACCCCGGGCTTTATCCTCAGCGGCATTGGCAAACTCTTCGCTGATAGCCACGTATTTATTCAAGTCTTGGACGAGTACCTTCAGAAACCGATCTAGTTGGAAGAAGGGAAATCCTGCCATGGGAACAGGTCCCGCGCTGGTCTTCTTGACGGCGAGCTTCAGGTTCAGTAACGGAGCTAGCTCTTCAGCCTGCTCAAAGTAGAGCTGGAGAATCTTGTCAGGGATCTATGCTGCCTTCAGAAGAAACAATACGACTGTCTAACTCTACTTGAACCGCCAGTCCGAAGTCCGTACCTCGTAGAAGCCCCCTACTCGAGTCAGAATAACACAATTCCTGAACTTCTGCATGTTATTCCGATGTCCCTGTACGACCGTGGGATACCGAGGCGCATCGTCCGTAGCGTCGGTAGCGCCGTCATCATACGGCTCGAGTTTCAAAGTTCCCTGCGGTAGATCCTTGACTTTGACTGTAGTTCTCGTCCTTGCCCCCCTTCTGAGCTCGAGATGAGGCGTTGACAACGAAGCTTCGACGCGGGCGTGTGGACGGTGCGCATGGTGACAGATCGTTCGGTGCACAAGGCAACGATGCGCGGCAGAACTGTCGAATTTATGGACATGATGGAATTGCGACGGCACTAAACGGGCGAATCGACATCCACTGATGCGCATGGTCCTGAGCTGAGCAATCACCAAGGTGGTGTTGGTGTTGCTGTGGATGAGATGGCGGGCGGCGATAACCAAAACGGGAACCCCAAATCTCAGGTGTCACTCGCCAAACCTTCCCGCTTCGCCACTGAAATCTGCTGCAGAAGAACTTCCCGACAACTTTCAACGCCATCTCCCTTCAACCATCCAAACCACTACAGGCAGCTTGCAACCCTGCAACAACGAGTAAGCTTGCCTGCTGCAAGAGGATGATCCAGGTTTGTAAAACCTTTACGGACACTTAATTATTTCCACCATTCATTTCTTGACGCAGGTGTGTCGACGCGCCGGCTGAATCTGAGCTCTACCGAGCCCGGGCGACTGAAAGAAGTCGTCGCACTATCGTTCTTTCTTTGTCGGATTTTTTTTCTTATATCGCAGTTGAAACACCTTCAAGATGGCGGACCAAAATATCTCCCAGTACAAGTACTCGGCGATGTCGAACCTGGTTCTCCAGGCGGACCGTCGTTTTATCTCTCGCATCAACGATGAACCCACCGGTGACCCAGAATCCCTTGCCGGACGCATCAGTATTCGGGAGATGGGCGCAAGAGTCGCGCGTGACGATGCGCCAAAGACCAAGAAGAAACCCGTCGGACCTACAGATATCGAGCGTGGTGCGATCCGAGAAGGGGAGGATGTGCTTGCTCGAGAACAGAGAAAACGTCGCGGGCAACAGCAATTACACGGCCAGGGTATTCTCTCCGCTGCCGATGCTCTTATCGAAGGGTTGAAATATCGCCCTCGAACGCCCGCCACCCGCGCGACCTACGATCTTATCCTTACTATGACTGCGAGTCATCTGGGCGATGTCCCTCACGAAGTCGTCCGAAGTGCTGCCGATGCTGTATTGGAGCTATTGAAGGACGAAGATATGAAGGACTTTGACAAGAAAAAGGAGATTGATGACTTGCTTGGCAGCTCCATGAGTCCAAAAGAGTTCAATGAGCTTGTAAATCTGGGAAAGAAGATTACGGACTACGATGCGCAAGACGAGGACGAAGAGATGGAGGGCGGAATGGACGGCCAAGAAGAGGCAGAGCTCGACGAACGTCAGGGTGTTGCCGTCGTCTTCGACGAGGAAGATGAGGATGATGAGCGAATGGGCACTGTCACCGAGGTCCGAGACGAGGATGACCTGACCGACGATGAAGAGCCAGATGAACAAGATGCTCCCGATGTCGAGGCTGCGACGGCCGAGAAGGCGAATATCGAAGGTCTTGAGGCTGAGGAAGAGATGGTCATCGACGGTGGGCTAGATCGCGCCGACCAACGACGGGATAAGCACTTGATAGTTCCTGCCCGGCAAATCGACGCTTACTGGTTACAGCGTCAAATTGGTTCTGTGTATACCGACGCTCATATACAGCAGGAGAAGGCCACACAGGCTCTGGAAATACTTGGTGGCAAAGCGGAGGACGGCACAGAGCAGTCCCTGCGAGACGTGGAGAACGATCTGATGGAACTTTTCGATTATGAGCATCCAGACCTTGTCGCCAAATTCGTCATGAACCGTGATAAGATTGTGTGGGTAACGCGTTGGCGCAGGGTTGCCGAAGATGCCGATGCTCGCCATCTCGTCGAAAGTGAGATGGTGGAGGCTGGCCACCGAGCTATTTTGGACGAAATTCGAGGCAAGACGGTTCGCCATGAAGCGGCAGGTCGACCTGAGAAGAAGATCAAGCTCGATCTGATGGATGTCGATGTCCCTAGCGCGCCGGCTCCCGAACAGAAGCCTGCAGAGGGTGGCTTGGTCGGCGGTCTGCAGCCCAAGAGGCTGATCAACCTGGAGAACCTTGTCTTCCACCAAGGCAACCATCTGATGACCAACCCTAATGTCAAACTACCTCAAGGTTCCACCAAGCGAACATTCAAAGGATACGAGGAGATTCATGTACCACCGCCGAAACCCAAGCGAGACCCTGGGGAGAAGAACATCCCCGCCACTGAGCTGCCTGAATGGGCCCGTATCGGCTTTGGTAGTGCCAAGGAGCTCAACAGAGTTCAGACCAAGTGCTATCCAGCTGCCTTCCACGATGATGGCAATATGCTTGTCTGTGCTCCTACGGGATCTGGAAAGACGAATGTTGCCATGCTTACCATTCTTCGCGAGATCGGCAAGAATCGCAACCCGGAGACCGGTGAGATTATGCTCGATGATTTCAAAATCATTTATATCTCTCCCTTAAAAGCTCTGGTCCAGGAGCAAGTTGGCAACCTCGGCAAACGGCTCGAGCCATACGGCATTCGAGTTTCTGAGCTGACTGGTGATCGCCAACTCACAAAGCAACAGATTGCTGAAACCCAGCTGATTGTCACGACTCCCGAAAAATTTGACGTCATTACCAGAAAAGCGTCGGAGACGAGTTACATCAAGCTCGTGCGTCTGATTATCATCGATGAAATTCATTTGCTTCATGACGAGCGAGGACCCGTCATTGAAAGTATCGTTAGTCGGACAATTCGCAAGGTAGAGCAGACCGGAGAACCTGTTCGCATCGTCGGTCTCAGTGCAACTTTGCCAAACTACCGTGATGTAGCCAGCTTCTTACGAGTCGACCCCAGTAAGGGCCTGTTCCATTTTGACGGTTCTTATCGACCATGCCCTTTGAAGCAGGAATTCATTGGTGTCACCGACAAAAAGGCTATCAAGCAGCTGAAGATGATGAACGATATTTGCTATACCAAGGTTCTCGAGCAAGTCGGGCAGCGAAGAAACCAGATGCTCATCTTTGTTCACTCTCGAAAGGAAACGGCGAAGACGGCCAAGTATATCAGGGATAAAGCATTGGAGATGGAGACTATTGGCCAGATTTTGCGTAGCGATGCTGCAAGCAGGGCTATTCTAGCGGAAGAAGCCGAGTCCGTCGACGATGCATCGCTGAAAGACCTGTTGCCATACGGTTTCGGTATCCACCATGCAGGGCTGAGTCTTGCTGATCGTGACTCCGTCCAAGCGCTGTTCGCTGATGGCAGCATTCAAGTCCTCGTATGTACGGCAACTCTTGCCTGGGGTGTCAACCTTCCCGCGCATACCGTTATTATCAAAGGCACTCAGGTATATTCACCGGAGAAGGGTAGCTGGGTTGAGCTTAGTCCTCAGGATGTCCTCCAGATGCTGGGACGAGCTGGTCGACCTCAATACGACACGTTTGGCGAAGGTATCATCATCACATCCCAAACCGAAATTCAGTACTACCTCTCCCTCATGAATCAGCAATTGCCGATTGAGAGTCAGCTCATGAGCAAACTTGCTGATAACATGAATGCCGAGATCGTTCTTGGAAACGTCCGCAACCGCGACGAGGGAGTGGAGTGGCTGGGTTACACTTATCTTTTTGTCCGTATGCTCCGCTCGCCTGGCCTGTACAGCGTGGGCGCCGATTATGAGAACGACGACGCGTTGGAACAAAAGCGAGTTGACCTCGTTCACTCGGCAGCCGTCATCCTGGAACGGGCCGGACTTATCAAGTATGACAAGAAGACTGGACGCCTGCAATCCACGGAATTGGGACGAATTGCTTCGCATTACTACATTGGCCACAATTCCATGTTGACCTACTCTCAGCACATCCAACCATCCATCTCAACCATTGAGCTCTTCCGCATTTTCGCCCTCAGCGACGAATTCAAGTACATCCCTGTTCGCCAAGACGAGAAGCTGGAGTTAGCGAAACTTCTCGGTCGTGTTCCTGTTCCTGTGAAGGAGAGCATTGATGAACCTCATTCGAAGATCAACGTTTTGCTGCAGGCCTACATTTCCAGACTGAAGCTAGAAGGTCTTGCTTTGATGGCAGACATGGTGTATGTCACTCAGTCCGCGGGTCGTATTCTGCGGGCCCTTTTTGAGATTTCCTTGAAGAAAGGCTGGTCATCTGTCGCGAAGACTGCTCTCGACCTTTGCAAGATGGCGGAACGGCGGATGTGGCCGACCATGACACCACTCCGTCAATTCCATCACTGTCCCCGGGACATTCTGCAGAAAGCGGAGAGAATCGACGTGCCTTGGGCCAGCTATTTCGACCTCGACCCTCCTCGCATGGGCGAACTTCTTGGTATGCCCAAGGCTGGACGGACGGTGTGTGATCTCGTGTCCAAGTTCCCTCGTTTGGAAGTCCAGGCGCAAGTTCAACCTGTAACCCGGTCATTGCTTCGAGTGGAGCTTACCATCACTCCGAATTTCGTGTGGGATGATGCTTTGCACGGAACAGCGCAAGACTTCTGGATCCTCGTCGAGGACTGTGACGGCGAGGAAATCTTGTTCCACGATCAATTCATCCTCCGGAAGGACTATGCGCAGGCCGAGATGAATGAGCACCTGGTCGAATTTACTGTTCCCATTACCGAGCCTATGCCCCCTAACTACTTCATCTCTCTCGTTTCCGATCGGTGGATGCACTCAGAGACCAAGATTGCGGTGTCTTTCCAGAAACTGATTCTTCCGGAGCGATTCCCGCCCCATACTCCTTTGCTGGACATGCAACGGGCGCCCGTCAAGGCACTGAAACGTGAGGATTACCAGCAACTGTATCCTGAGTGGCAATTCTTCAACAAAATCCAGTCCCAAACTTTCAAGTCGTTGTATGATACCGATGACAATGTCTTCCTCGGTGCTCCTACGGGCAGCGGCAAAACTGTTTGTGCTGAGCTTGCATTGCTGCGGCATTGGGCAACCG